AGAAGTATAGCCTGTGATGTTAAAGAAGATGCTTGTCTTAGCCAGGCTGCTGTAACAAAGTACCGTAGATGGTATTTGACTTAAAGAAATGTGGCTCAATCAACAGACATTTATTTTTCATGATACCAGGAAGTCCAGGATCAAAGTGCAGGCAGGGTCAAAGTGCAGCCCCTTTCCTGGCTTGCAGACTTCTTGCTGTATCTTCCTATGGAAAGGAGAGGGAGAGAGAGCGTGGCTTTGGTCTCTTTCTCTTTTTATGAAGACATTAATCTATCAAATGGAGGCTTCACCCTATGGCCTCATCTAAACCTAATTACTTGCCAAAGGCCCCACCTCCAAATGTCATCACATTGGAGGTTAAGGCTTCGACATAAGAATTTGAGAGGAGGGTGGCCATAAATATTCAGTTTATAACAACTTAGCCTTTCTCAGCCTCAATTCTAAAAATAGAAATAATACTTTTAAGGTTCTGAGATGATAACATATAAGCTTTAGAATTTGAAACATGTAAGTTTCAGAAATTGAAACATAGTAATCTCTCAAAGTTGCTGCTGATGTGATTATTACCATATTTCACAGATCCGCCAGAAGCATTTTTGATGTGTTAAAAGACTGGGCTGGATGAACGCTCCCAGTTCCAGTAAGCAGTAACATCTTACAATTTTTGTTGATCTGCGTCAAGATAGGGATGGTGCTCCATGAACATCCTTCAGTTCCACATTTTGCTTTCTGTGTGGGCATCTCCAGGTCAGCCCGCCTTTCTGATTTATGTATTCAGTCTTTGCCTTGTCTCTGTATTTTTGTTTGTTTCTGTATCCCTCTTTCTTGATCTTTGTAAACGCTCCATTCTTTCCTTTTCTGTTCCCTCACCTTTCACTGTAAAGTATGATGAATAGTTTACAGTGCACATTGTTTTACTATATTTTTTAATCTTTTACTTCAGATGCTAATTGTGGGAGTTCCACCTGTTGTGTGACTACGGTTACTTGATGACATGCATTTTCCGCTCTTGGTTCAGAGTTAGTTTGGCTTTCATAAGCATTGACCAGAACAGGCCTGTCTTTGTTCATTTTAGGCTTTCTTATGGCTGGTGTGGGCTGGTATGTAGGAATAAACTACTCTGGTGCTAGATTCTGTTTAAAGAGGAAGCTGTTTAACAGCCCCTGGTGCATCTGATGGTCAACTGCTTTTCCTCCAGCTTTGTTGGGGTGACCCTCTGGCAGGTTGCTGCTCATCAGTCCCAGGGTGCAGGACGTGCTAAGGCTCCAGGCCTCACTTCACTTTGTTTTCCCAGACTCCATAGTTTAAATGGAATTTTTATATATCTGCCACAAGAAAACCAATCATTTGGCAGCCTGTATTTTTCTACATTTAGCAACTGGCACTTATACAATAGATTTTCATGTGTAACAACAGTGTGCATCCTTTAACCATGGCAGTTAAAATCATCCTTGAATAGCTAATAGTTACACTTAATTATGGATTTTATGGTCTAGTTGATGTTAAGCTTATTACACAGTTGTGTTTTTAAGAGTTATTTGTGGCTGAATGTAGATGCTTGAAAGATATCATGTTTTAGTTTTACTTAAGAAAGAGCCTACACAGTTAATTATGTATTTTTTTTATTTGTAAGAAAATGTTTTAACATTGCCATCATTGGTCAAGCAGCAATATAAAAATTGACTTCTTGGATGACATGTAATGTGTGTGCCATTATAGCCAAAAAGCCTGTCATGAATATGTATTACTTAGAGAATTTGAAATTTCTCATGAACCATTCTAGGTTGCCAAGAATTAACTACTTGGTAAAAGAGGGCAAAAAGATGAAATACCTAAGGCTGGATTTGCTTTTATTTTATTTCTATTTTTAGAGACTTTCTTGACATACAAAAATAATACACTGTGACCCTGGAGATAAGGATGTCTAGATTAGTCGCCATGCTTTCTTATGAAACAAAATTCAGTGAGGTCCACGTGGTGAATCAGGGTTTGAAAAGGTATTCAGCATCATTAGCCATTGGGGGAATGCAAATTACAATTGATACCACTATACTCCTCTTGTCCTGGCTAAATAAATGATTACTGTGGCGAGGATGTGAAATAACTGGATCTTGCACACACTGCCTTACATTATTGGTGGGAACATAAAATAATGTTACAGCAACTCTGGAAAACAGTTCTGGCAATTTCCAAAAAAACTGAGCATGCAATTTCTGTGCAACCTAGCAGTTTCATACTTGGCCATTTATCTCAATGAAATGAAAATTTCATTTTCACACAAAAACCTGGACATGAATTACAATATTCACTTAGAATAATGACTTTATTTATAAAGGCCAAAAATAGCTCAGCTCCCCCTCAGCAGGTGACTGAGTAGACAAACAATAGTATATCTGTACCCTGGACTACTGCTCAGCAATAAAAAGGAACAGACTGTTGTCAGAAAAACCTGGATGAATCTCTGGAGAAATATGCTGAGGGTATAAAAGGCAACTCCAAAAGGTTATGTACAATATGTTCCTACTCATATAATTTTCTCTTAAAATGACAAAAAATTTAAAAAGTAATTTTACATTGATTATATGTTCAAATACATTTTATACATAGTAGATAACATATTAAAATAACAAAATACTGAAGTGGAGAGCAGATAAGTGGTTGCTGGAGAGATTCAGGAGGGAGGGAAAAGGAGGGTGGTGGGAGGGAACTCAGTGTGGCTGTAGAAGGCAGCAAAAGGGATCGTTGTGATAATGAAAATGTCCAGAATCTTGGCTGGGCATGGTGGCTAACGCTTATAATCCTAGCACTATGGGAGGCTAAGGCAGGTGGATTGCCTGTGCTCACAGGTTTGAGACCAGCCTGAGCAAGAGGGAGACCTCATCTAAAAATAGCTGGATGTTGTGGAGGGTGCCTATAGTCCCTGCTACTTGTGAGGCTTAGACAAGAGAATCGTTAGAGCCCAAGAGTTTGAGATTGCTGTGAGCTATGACATCATAGCACTCTACTGAGGGCGGTAAAGTGAGACTGTCTCAAAAAAGAGAAGAAAAATGTCTTAAATCTTAACTAATCAGTGTCGATAGCCTGATTGGGAAACTAATGCAACATCACAATCAGGGAACCTGGATAAAGGATCCGTGAAAACTAGCTGCATTATTTCTTAGAATTGCGTGTCAGTCTACAGTGATCTGAAAATAGAAAAGTTAATTGTTTTAAATGTTGAATATTCTGATGAAACACTGTTTTTACCCCACATGTTTCTTATTTTTTAGTCTTGTTATTATTGATTTATTTGATGATTATTTTATTCACTCAAAAAATAATTACTGATTGCTGGATATGCACTTCATTTGGCCTAGCTATCAAGATGAAATCACTCATTCTAAAACCCAAATCATTGCCAGATTGTAATTGTTTCCACCTTATTTTGTTATTTAGTGGTAAGTTTTGCAGCTAGTTTACGTAGCTCACAGTGGAGCTCTCCTGCAGGTGCATTTTGGGGCCTTGGTAACATTAGCTTTAAATATTTAAAAAAATTTTCCAGGGCAAAATTATTATGGTTGTGCTTCATGGTCTAGAACTGAGGAACTTTGATTACACATTTGTCTGTAGGAATAGAAAGGATTTTTGAGTCAAATCAGGGCTCTGCTGGGGCACTCACTTGGCTATGGAGAGTTCAGTGAGGTTCTGTGTGGCACAAGGCCTGCCAGACCCCTGAGTTTTCCCAAGGGCATGGTGTTCTTTTTCCCAGTTCTGCTTTGGACTTGCCTAGCAACATAGAATGTCCTCTCTGGAACTTTGAGCTCAAGGCAGCACCAAAGGTGGGTTCAGAGAGTCACTTGAGCTTATTGCAGTGGCTCTCAACCTTTCTAATGCCAAATGGCCCTTTAATACAGTTCTTCAACCCACAGGTTGAGAACTGCTGGCTTACAGTGAATAGCGTGGAGAACAGTCTGTCAGTTGCGTGTGTTTGGGGGACAGCCTCTGAACTAGCCTGAGCAGTGGAGGGTCTCCTGTTAGGTCTCTATTACTCTGGTCGCAGAAGAATGGCTTTCACTGAATTGTACTTTGATATAATATTAAGGGGGTGTCTTAACAAGTGAAATGTGGAGGTGTATTCAGTAGCTGGAAGTGAAATCTGACAACGCTAGGGTAAAGGGGTTTTTTGTTGTTGTTTTGTTTTTAAATTAGAAGAGGATAGGACCATGGAGATGAAGCCAACTTTGGCTTCAGCTGCAGCCTTCCCCCTCTGTCATAGACCTCTTATAGGCCCTGACAATCCTGATTTTAATAGTGAATTGAGGTTGAGGAACCTTTTCTGTGCTTTAAACTTGGTGGATCATGAATATATGCTCCAACTAGTTGTAGAGACATTGAAGGGATTTTCCTTAGAAGTAATGTTATCAATGGGCTAGGACCACTCACCAGAGTTTATTTAATCTAGCCTGTATCTGAATAGTGATAGCTTAGATCACGGGTCAGTGCAGAATGCATCTCTCACTCACTACATTATTCCTGTTGTAAAGTGAATTTCCAGTTTCTCCTCGGGGTGGACTTTGGGGCTATCTTCATTAGTTTTTATCTGTGTGGCTGCTGTGGCCGGAGGAGATGCAGCAGTCCCAGGCTCTAGACAATCTTGGGCAGGGGGCAATATTGGTCAGCGTTCTGGTGATTCTGTGCTGGTCCTGAACTTTAGAGGAAAATCCCTAATGGCAGTTGGCACTATCCCTGATGTGAGAAAGGAAAGGGAACTTCTTGTGCCTCAGGCTCTGGTTGGAACAGCCTCTTGGATAAAAGGACAGTCTGGGATTGTCCATGCATGGAAATGTGTAGAAACTGTGATAGCATAGGACTCTGGGGTTAAAAATTAGCAAAGGTAATGACAGGAAATCTGGTCTACAAATGAGCAATGAATTTTTGGTCACTACTTTTATTTCTTTGTCATTGTTGGTAGATCCACACATTCAGTGTTAACATCTCATATGATTTTTTTTTCCTTGTAGTCTCAAACCATGAATTATGTGGGACAGCTGGCGGGGCAGGTGATTGTCACTGTGAAGGAGCTCTACAAGGGCATTAACCAGGCCACCCTCTCTGGGTGTATTGATGTCATCGTGGTGCAGCAGCAGGATGGCACCTATCAGTGTTCACCTTTCCACGTTCGGTTTGGGAAGCTGGGAGTCCTGAGATCCAAAGAGAAAGTGGTGAGTGCAGTGCGTTGTCTTTCCTTAGGAGGGGGAAAGTTACACAGTGCCAGTGAGGACGTGCTTACTGTGAGCTCTCTGGGCCCCTCTCCTTTTTTTTAAAGAAACCCTACATGATGTTGAAGACAATGTTGCTTTTGAAGTTGCTTCTAAATTAACAAAGCCCTGTGACAGGGAGATTCTGCAAGGGAAAAAGAAACCGAAAATTATTATAATTCTACATGTTACAACTCAGAAGACCAAAATAGAAGCTAGAGTTGTAAGTGGGAAAGTTAGACATAGTTAGAAAAAAAAATTTCCTATACCTTATATAGTAGTTAAGAAGTTTTTTTTTAAGAGACAGTCTTATTTTGTCTCCCTCAGTTTCACAGTTGCGGTATCACAGCTCACAGCATCCTCTAGCTCTTGGGATCAGGCAATTATCATCCCTCAGCCTCCTGCATAGCTGGGACTATAGGTGTCTGCCACAATGCCTGGCTATTTTTTTGTTGCAGTTTGGCTGGGGCTGGGTTCGACCCTGCCACCCTTGGTATATGGGGCTGGCGCCCTACCTGCTGAGCAACAGGCACCACCCAGTATTTAAGAATTTTAACTGGAATAGGTTGATGTAATCAAGAATACGTTAAATTTCCATAAAGGAAATTAATGAAGCTGTAAAATATTATTTGTAATCTGAATTATTATTGATACCAGGACTTCTCCCCAAATCTCCCTGAAATGCAAACCCACAGACACATAGGCTGCTTGACTTTTATTCAGGAAGAATGTATTTGTGTTGGTTGTTTTTGTTTTTTTTTTTATATCACCCTCGGTAGACTACTGTGGCATCACAGCTCACAGCAACCTCCAACTCTTGGGCTTAGGCGATTCTCTTGCCTCAGCTTCCCCAGCAGCTGGGACTATAGGCACCTGCCACGATGCCCAGCTATTTTTTGTTGCAGTTTGGCCGGGGCTGGGTTCAAACCTGCCACGCTCAGTGTATGGGGCCAGCGACCTACCCACTGAACCACAGGCACTGCCCAATATATGCCCATATATTTTCTTTTTTTAATATTCTCTTTCAGGTATGGAGTAGTTAGGTTTGCTAGTATATCTGATGTCAATCAAGTTAGAAAACTGAGCTAGTGATAAAATTTTGCTGGTATCTAGTATAGTTTTCTTTCTACCCTTACCCTATGGTATCTACCTCTATAATGTAGAGAGGTTTTATAATGTAGAGAGGTTTTGTCAAGTTTTTATTTATTTTTATTTTTTTTAAGGCAGAGTCTCTCTCTCTACCCTGGGTAAAGTACTGTGGTGTCATCCCTCAACAGCAGCCTCAAACTCCTAGGCTTGAGCAGTCCTCTTGCCTCAGCCTCCTGAGTAGTGGGGACTATAGGCACCCACCACAGCTCCTGGCTAGCTTTTCTGTTTTTTAGTAGAAACAGGGTCTACCTGTCTTGAACTCCTAACCTCAGGTAGTCTACCCACCTCGGCCTGCCAGAGTTTTGTCAAGATTTTTAAGCATGACAGAAGATCCTCACCATTTTCTGGCATGGACTTAAAAGTATGTGTTAGAGGACTGTGCCAGTCTAACATATATTTTCAGATTTTTGCTATTTTATGTAGTTTATATTCTCTAAATAGAAATTTGCTTCTGTGTAATTAAGTATATTATTTTGAGGGGAAAGAAAAAGGATTTCACAAAACTAGATATTCTTTGCTTTCCCCTTCCATGAAAAATTCTCATTTCTACTGTGTGTTACAGAATCAGTTTCCACTGGAGAGCCACACTGCACAGTGGCAGGGTTTCTGTGGGCTGGCCTCTGTTCAGAGTCACCCTTTAGAAAGTGAAAGAAAGCGGTTGCATTTTGTTTAGAAACTTTCCATTGCAAAAGTGTTGTTTAGCCACAGTTTAGAGTCTCTGGAATTTTTTCTTTCTTTCCAGAAATACTAATAGTGCTTTCAGACTGGATCTGTTTGGGGTTTTTTTTGGGGGGGGGAGGGGAGAATCAGCAGCAAACTGTTTATGCAGTGAAATTTCTCGTTAATTGTGTAAGAATCTATCTCTAAAATTGTTTCTGACGCTTTTTTGTTGGTTAGTTTTTTGGCTGGCATCTTTTTGATCAGCACTTTGGGTCAGTCCTCTGGCCTTTTAAAATGGAACCTGCAGGCAGATGTATACAAGCACTTAAGCCATCTGTAAATGGTGACTGAGCAGATAAAACAACTTTTTCTGGCGGTGCCTGTTGCTCAGTGGGAAGGGCGCCGGCCACAGACACTCAGGCTGGTGGGTTCAAACCCGGCCCAGGCCTGCTGAAACAACAATGACAACTGCTGCAACAACAACAACAAAAATAGCTGGGCATTTGTGGCAGGCACCTGTAGTCCCAGCTACTTGAGAGGCTGAGGCAAGAGAATCATTAAAGCCCAAGAGTTTGAGGTTACTGTGAGCTGCGATGCCATGGCATTCTACCAAGGGTGACAGTTTGAGACTGTCTCAAAACAAAAAACTTTTTCTGCATGCTATGTGTTTCTGATTTAAGAAGTGATATAATTTTGTACAGAGCCTCACAATTAATTGTGTTAAATATCTTGTCAAACCCTTGAATTTTTAATGGGAGTATATCCATGAGACATAGGAATTGAGAAATTTTTACCCTCTCCTTCCTCCTTTGATATTCCAGAAACCCCAAATATATGTTTGGAAGGCAGTTAGGCCTTTTGATTTACGGAAACACAGCTTTCCTGTGATGGTAAAACTGATACCATGTGCTTTGAGATAGTGCTGGCAATTTGCATTAACTATTTGTTTTACTTTGAATCAGTTTTGGGTTAGGCAGTGCTGGTCATTGATTTTTTTTTTTTTTTTTAAAGACAGAGTCTCACTTCGTCACCCTTGGTATCACAGCTCACAGCAACCTCAAACTCTTGGGGTCAAGTGATCTTTTGCCTTGGCCTCCTAAGTAGCTGGGACTGCAGGTGCCCACCACAACACCCAGCTATTTTTAGAGCTAGTGTCTCACTCTTGCTCAGGCAGTCCACCTGCCTCGGCCTCTCAGAGTGTTAGGATTACAGGCATGAGCTACCATGCCCAGCCATGGTCATTGATTTTTAAACTTTGAAACCTTACTTGAAACAAATTTTCAATATATACTTATGAAGTGGACTTGAAATCATGTCCAACCTAAAACCCCTGTGTGAAGAGATGCAATATAATAATTTTCCCACTCCCATTGATAAGTTCTTGCTTGATGGAATGCTAGTACTCTGAGTACATTTCATAACTCAAGAATTTAAATTTAGAAGGTAAACCTATTATACTTTGTTTTTAAATATTAATTTTTGTTCATATTTACCAGAGTTACATAGCCCAGTGTATTAGAACTGTTTTCATTGCTGATAACAGAAATCCACCTCCCACTAGCTTAGGCAGAAAAACTTGCATAGGTAGAGTCCAGAGGTATTTGTTTTAGTCAGGGCTGTATTAAGAGGCTCTAAAGCAGTGATTCTCAACCTTCGTAGTGCCGCGGCCCTTTAATACAGTTCCTGTGGGTCACAACCCACAGGTTGAGAACTGCTGCTCTAAAGGAATTATCAGAACTCTTTCTCCATCTCAGTTCTACTTCTGTTTGTGTGGGTTCCCTCTAAAGTTGAATTACCAATACCGCCAGGCGCACTTTCCATTAATCAGCCCCAGTGGAAAGAGCTTCTTACAGAAGTTTTCTACAGAAGTCCCAATATTTTAGTCTACCCGTCTGTTACTGTAGGTAGGGATGGAACATATTGACGGGCTTGGCTTGCATAGCAGCCCCACCTTGACTCCCTGAAGCTACACTTGAAATTCAGGTTAAGTATCACTTATCTGAAATGCTTGGGACCAGAAGTGTTTTGGAGTGCATATTTTTTCTTTGGAAATATTAGTATTATACTTAACTGATTAAGCATCCCAAATCAAAAAATTCAAAATCTGAAGTACTCCATGAGCATTTCCTTTGAGTGTTATGTCAGTACTCAAAAAAATGTTGATTTTAGATTTTGGATATTTGGATTTGGGATGTTCAACCTGTATGTGGTCTGAAATAGAGGATGACTTAATCCCCAAAAGACAGACCCAAAGAAGGGCAAACCAAATCAAGTGTCTAACATCCAGTATTTCTCACAGTACTGATTCCGTTTCAACATCTTACTCATGTTGAGCAAGACTGAGCCACAATATAGGAAGTGTAACTGTATGAAAATGAGTGGTTATTTTGAAAGCTAGTTTACTAGAATTTAATGCATCAAAATGAATGTCCTCTTTAAAATGATTAATCACTTTGGGAAGTATTTATTCCAGCTTGGTACTGTTTCTCTAAAGAACTCATGGCATATTCTTTTAAATATATTACATATTGGCACAGCTTGAGGTTAGATTTAAATTTTGGAAAGACCAAATTCTATTCAAAGTCAAATCAAGAGAATAAAGTAGTCATTTTGAATAATATCATACTTGATCTCTAAAAGTAAAGATGGTAACGTGTTAATTTTTCTAAGATGAACAGTTTAGATTCTGAGTTTGCATCTTAAAGAAGCATTATTCTATTTTCCCAGCTACATTGGATAAATTATAACCGCCTAAAATGAAAATCTTGAAGAATACTAGTTTGTATCTTTTTTATTAAATATAAAATACTAAATAGTTTGTATTTAATTTAACCTAAACAAAGACTCTAACCTAAACAACTAAATCAACAGAGATGATTATTTTAATTATTTCCTGTGTCTAACTTCTAGTTGAATAAGTAAAATATTTTTGTTAAATTTTGATATTTTTATTTTTGAGACAGTCTTACTCTGTCACATTGGGTAGAATGTCATAGTGTCGTCATAGCTCACAACACCTCAAACTCTTGGGTTCAAGCAATCCTTTCGCTTCTGCCTCCCAAGTAGCTGGGACTTACAGGCACCCACCATGATGCCTGCCTGGTTTATATTTTTTTTCAGTAGGGATGGGCTCTCAATCTTGCTCAGGCTGATCTTGAGTAATCCACCCACCTCAGCCTCCCAGAGTGCTAAGATTATAGGCATGAGCTACTATGCCTAGCCGTAAATTAAATAGTTCAATTAAGTCATCCTAAAAAACTTAAAATGTGGGATTATGGGGCGGCGCCTGTGGCTCAGAGAGTAGGGCACCAGCCCCATAAACTGCAGATGGTGGATTCAAACCTGGCCCTGGCCAAAATAAATAAATAAATAAAATGTGGAATTATGGAGCTAATTTAGTTTTTCCTTATCTCCTGGCTTAAATAGCCTAGAAACAAAAACTGTTTCAGTTTTCACATAACTTTTTAAGTTGGTGAACATTATTTATATGGTTATTGAAGAAATTGCTATTGTTGTAGCTACTTCAGAAATTTTGACTTCAGAGATGCTAAAGTGATTTATACCAGCCTGAGTTTCTCTGCAGTAAATATTTGGAGTCATATAAAATATTAAGGAAGGCTGAGTGGAAAATGGTTAGGGTTAATGTTTGTCTTGTGGAAACTGATCTATGTAGCAATTTTATTTAAAAAGTAGAAGTAAAGGCATTTTTTGTAATTGTTTTATTAACATTTCTTAAATGGGATAGAATTTTTTTAACTTGTTACTCTGTATTTATTAATTGCTCATTTAACATGTTTGTACCCATAAAATCATTTCCACCAGTAAAAGGAGCATTTTATAGTCCTGTCATCTTAGTCTTTCCCACTCTGTGACAGTTCCAAATGGTGATTTTTCTGTTTCTATTCTTTCTTTTTTTGTTTTTGGCTGGGACTGGGTTTGAACCCACCACCTCCAGCATATGGGGCCGGTGCCCTACCCATTAGAGCCACAGGCACTTCCCTGTTTCTATCCATTTATTAATGGAAATTCTGTCTTATCAAGAACTGTTTCTTCTATTAATTATTCAATCATTTATTAATTTTATAATATGAGTTATCCCTCATCCATTTTTTTTAAATTTCAGATGAATCTGAGGGTATAAATGTTTAGGTTACTTTATTTTCATTTCTAAGGTAAAGTTCAGGTTGTAGTTGAGCCCTTCACCCAGGGAGCTTGCTGAACACATCAAGCACGTTAGGTGAGATCCTGCCAATCGCCTTCCTTCCTCCCTCCTCTCCTGTCACTAGACTATAGTGGTGTTAATTCTTTTGTGTAGTTGTTTAGAAGTTTATATATTGGTTTCATGTTAGTATTGAGTACATTGTTGCTCACATTGTCTCAGTTCGGCTGTAATACAGTGTAGCTCCTCAAGTTGAGTCCCATTGTAATGCTCCCATCACTTTTTGAGCACTTCTTTCTTTCTGCAACAATAAATAAGGTATTCAGAACAAGCTGCTTTTAATTATTTTACTTCTATCATAACTCCACTTTACGGTAGATTCATACTTCACTTCTTGTTTTTTTGTTACATTTATTTCTTTCCCAGTTTCCTCATTCAATTTTCCATTTTTATTTAGGTCATGCTTTGCTCAGGCTAGTCTCAAACTCCTGAGCGCAAGTGATCTTCCTGCCTCAGCCTTCCAGAGTACTAGGATTATAGGCATGTGTCACTGTACCTGGCCCCATTTGTCCATTTTTATAAAATATGTTACATGGGTTCGTCACTGGGAGATGAGGAAGCCACATAACTACGTGCTTTGTTGTCTGTGTCTCAACTGAATGATAGATAACACAGTGACTAGTCAGTAATAGACTTTGAGGAAGTGCTGTGATTGATCACTGATGGGTACAGCATCTGCTGTTGACGTAGTGTTGTGTTCGATCTGTGGAGGAGTGAAGCTCAAGGGTCACCTACTGAGGTTATGGAAACTTGGATGTGTCTGAACTGCATGAGGTGAGGCCTGCTTGCACTGTAACTTGGAAAATTTACAAATGCTTGACAATGAAGTTAAAGCCTCTGTTTTTCATCATTTGAGAAATTAATCCAAACCTTTTCTATCTTGTAAAATAGGTGGTTAAAACATTTTCTTTCAATCCCTGGTTATCTATCCCTTTTCTCTACCAGGTCCTTTTGGTTTTTAGGGGTGGAATGAATTCAGGTAGCAGTTTTTCTTTGGGGCTGAAGCTTAATACCAAGTTTGGCTTAAAAATGCAGAATTTATTTAGCTTAGCTTGAAGGAAAGACTGAATGCCAAATCACATTTGTTTCTCCTCTTAGATTGATATAGAAATCAATGGCAATGCAGTGGATCTTCACATGAAGTTGGGTGACAATGGAGAAGCTTTCTTTGTGGAGGAGACTGAAGAGGAATATGTAAGTTTTCATGGGTTACACCCTCCTTACACATGGTGCTCAGGCTTCCTGTGTGTGTCCCAAACAGGAATGTTGTTGCTGGCTAGATAATCTTTTAAGATTCAGATTGAAGGCTCAGCGCCTGTGGCTCAAGTGACTAAGGCGCCAGCCACATACACCTAAGGTGGCAGGTTCGAATCCAGCCTGGGCCTGCCAAACAACAATGACAACTGCAACCAAAAAAGAGCCGGGCATTGTGGCAGGCGCCTGTGGTCCCAGCTACTTGGGAGGCTGAGGCAGGAGACTCGCTTGAGCCTAGGAGTTGGAGGTTGCTGTGAGCTGTGATGCCACTGCACTCTACCCAGGGGGCAGCTTGAGGCTCTGTTTCCAAAAAAAAAAAAAAAACTCAGATTGAAGAACTAAGCTGTCAAAACGGAGCTGGAGGGATAAGGAACTTTTCTTTATACCCAGTTGCAGGAGGCGGGGAGCATACAGAAAATCTTTGCACTTGTTCCTTTTATAAGGGGAGGCACATTTCTAGCTTTAATAAGCTTTCTTATTGAGTCTCCATTATGGTTCACACCTTGATTTGAGTACATTTGGTTCCGTCTAAGTAATGACGGCTTATCTCTTCCTGGCTGTGTGTTTATACACGTGTGACCTTTAAACTTGAAAATCATGTTTATCATTTTGGTGGGGATGTTACATCCCTAATCTTGAATAGTCCCGGAAATTAATTTATTATGGTCTTGAGAGTTAATTAATTGCTCTGTATCTTTAATCCTGTCAATGATTACGTTTGGCTTCTTTCACCAAGAGAACACAGTTTGCCCTGTCTGCCCTGTCCTCAACACACACACTGTGTTTCTGCTGATCTGGATAGTAGAGAACTGTTTTTGGTGGGGTTAATGGGGATCTTTTGAAAAATTCTTTAGAAGGCATCATTACATCTTTCTTTACTAAAGATATAGGACTTCTTTTTTGCTTTTGAAGATGAACTGCCAATTTGGTGTTACAAACTCATTTTAAAAAAAATAAAATACGGCTCAGCACCTATACTACAGTGGTTACGGTGCCAGCCACATGCATTGAACATGGCAGGATCGAGCCCAGCCCAGGCCAGCTAAACAACAGTTACAAATACAACAAGAAAATAGCTGGGCGTTGTGGCAGGCACCTGTAGTCCCAGCTACTTGGGAGACTGAGGCAAGAGAATCGCTTAAGCCCAAGACTTTGAGGTTGCTGTGAGCTGTGATGTCACAGCACTCTACCAAGAGTAACATAGTGAGACTCTGTCTCCAAAAAATAAAATAAAAAACAATAGTGAAATGAGATTATTTTTATCATTTTTCAGTTCAGAGAAAAGGCAGCAACTTAGGGATCAGTATGTAAAGCGGCACGAGATAGTATGATGTATGAAGTAGACCCTTCTGGACTGGCGCTGCTTCTAGTATCTTCATTACTTGTTTTGTATTACCTTGTTTGCATTTACTTGGCCTAAGCAAAAAATTTTCCTCATCAGGGACAGAAGAATAGAGTGAAATATAATAAATGACATTTGTCACAAGAACAAGAGGTTTTTGTTGTGTTTCTTTAAATCACATATAGTCCCCAACACTGATGGAACTTTGTGTAAATCAGCAGATACAGTGAGTGAGAAGTCTGGGTTATTGATAGCTTGTTTACCTGCTTTTCATGGTTTATTCTGATGATGCTGTTAAAAACTAGGCTTAGCAAGGTCAACTTGGAGAATGTCACCTTTTCAGCCTTTTTTTTCCTAGTCCATGTCTGACTAAATTGACCAAATTTCCTCAGCTATAGTGTGTATATATTTAAAATAAAAAATTGGTTCATCCAGCAAACATTGGCATTACTACTCTATGTCACATACTACAAATGAAGGAGTCCCCCTACCCCTCCAGGAGTTCATGATTTAGAGGAGGATGACACTTGTCAAAACACTATCTGGATGCCATTTATTTGCTTTTATTTCTCTCAGATTTTTCTGATCATACATCATCAACATCCCTGTAAAGTCAGTAGTTCTGGGTCTCTGTCCTTTTTATAGCTGTACTATATTCCATAGTATGGATATACCTTAATTTATTTAACCTTTCTCTTATTAGTAGGCATTCAAGTTGTTTTCATCCCACAAATACTGGCTGTAATAGAACTAGGGAAATACCACCAGACGCAAAAACAGCTTTCAAGAAGTAAATAGAGATCATTAAATTAAAAGACCACAGCCTCTCATTTGGGTACCTTGGGGTCATTCAGAATATCTTATCACAGTTTCTCCGAAAGTGTTTAACAGTGAACATGGATTTCATCTCGGTAAATAAAACTTCAGCTTCAGGGTAATATATTACCAAGTTCAAAAGCTTGCTTGCTTGCTTGGCTTTGATAATAGATTACCCTGAGGTTAATTTATATCTGTGTTACAATAATCTTCCATTTTCCCCAGTGATACAAAGGAACAAAAAATTGGTTGTTATGATACTAATTTGCTAAACACCTGACTTGATCATTCTCTCAGTATTAAGTATTAGGTGTTATTCTTTTTCTTTTCAATTCCTAAAAGAACATGTTAAATTCACTGATGTCATTTGTTGTAGATTATTGTCTTCATCCTCAATTAATTTGGCAAAACATAAGCATTGACCACTCTGCATTCTCCATAGTTCCTCACCTCACTTACCTGTCCTGCTCCCCTTTGTCTGGTGCATGTATCCTTAATCTCTGCCTTCTGCTTTATCCTGTTCTTACATCTCATAAGTTCTTAGCAGAGGCTTTTGGAATGCTATTGTTGCTTTGACCTTTTCTTTGCCAAGAATTTAATTGACTCTGCTTTAATCATAGCTTTGGGGTATCCCATACCGGTCAGGTACATTGATTCCTCCAAATGTACTCAGTTACGTGTCCTGAGTACACGTGTACTTACGTGTACTCAGTTACGTGTCAGCTTGTGTAACAGCATGAAGACCTGCTCAGAGCAGGCAGTGCCTTCGTTCATTGTAACTTTCTTAATTTTAGAAGATACTTTTTCTATCACTGTGAAATTGATATCTCAAAATATTGTTTGATTTGCCATTCGGTTTGTCATTGTTGACTCTTCTTTCTCCGTGTTCTCCTTAAGGAAAAGCTTCCTGCTTACCTCGCCACCTCACCAATTCCAACCGAAGATCAATTCTTTAAAGATATTGACACCGCTTTGATGAAATCAGGTGGAGATGAAAAACCATCTCAGAGTTCAGACATCTCACACATCTTGGAAACAGAGACAGTTTTCACCCCAAGTTCTGTGAAAAAGAAAAAACGAAGGAGAAAGAAATGCAAACAAGATAGTAAGAAGGAAGAGCAGGCTGCTTCTCCTGCAGCAGAAGACACATGTGACGTGGGCGTGAGCTCTGATGACGACAAGGGCTCCCAGTCAGCAAGGTAGGGTGCTCAGCCTGGGAAGGGTCTTGTTCAGGTGCTGGGCCATCAGCTTATGCTGTAGGTAGAGCGCAGGGAAAGCCAGAGGCTGCCTTTTCCTTCACGGAGATGTAATACGAGATTTGGACTCGTTTTTCTCCTCCATGGTTTGTTGTAGAATCAAGCCAGAGAGGCATTTCCCCTGTTCCTTATAATTCTACAAAATTTGCTATCAGACATTCTGTTGTGCTACTAAAATGCATCTTATAGCAGACTGGTGGTGTCTCTTTTCATACAGCAAGTTTGCAAAAGCTGAGTGAGTTGTCAGTCTAAGAAGATGTGAGTTAGTGCTTTGCCCTTGGTTAAGGAGATGCAGGTAGACACAACGTTGGCATCTCCCACCCAGTGGTCTTATAATGGAGAGCTCATCTTTTCCTGAGAAATTCAGAGTTCTATTTATCATCAAAATATATCCTAGTACATTGGAAGAGGAAGGAGTTTCATTTGTTTTAAGTGAGAAATCTTTTTTTTTTTTTTTTGAGAGACAGTCTCAAGCTGTCACCCTGGGTAGAGTGCCATGGCATCACAGCTTACAGCAACCTCCAACTCTTGGGCTTAAGCAATTCTCTCACCTCAGCCTCCCAAGTAGCTGGGACTATAGACGTTCACGACAATGTCTAGCTATTTTGTTGTTGTGGTTGTTGGCATTGTTTGGCAGGCCCAGGCTGGATTTGAACCCACCAGCTAGTATATGTGACTGGTGCCCTAGCCATTTAGCTACAGGCACCGAGCCTTAAGTGAGAAATCTTGATCACCACTTATTTTACCAGCTCAGTGGAAGAAATCAAAATATATATTCCAGTTCTCAAGTCAGCATTGTCTGGGCTTTAGGTAACAATTAGGAAAGAAAATATATTTTCTCATTCAAGATTTGATTTTCCTCTGTCTGTTCCACTCAGTGGCCCTTTTGGTTCTAGGACTGTGTGACCGGGTGGTTCTCTTTGTGTTGGTGACTATAAGACAAAAAGCTACTGCCACAAGTGGCCCTGTGTTTCCAAACCCTTTATTTGAAGTGAAGGTTGGCTTTATGGGGGAGATGCTGATCCACGTGTATGTGTTCAACTCAGCTGCTGAAAAGAGAGCTCTTACCCTTCTTACTGAGAAACGTAGAGCTTCTGAAATTTTTCTTTTGTTTTTCTTTTGAGACAGTCTCACTGTGCCGTCCTAGGTAGAGTGCCGTGGCGTAACAGCTCGCAACACCCTCCAACTCTGGGGCTCAAGCACTTCTCTTGCCTCAGCCTCCCAAGTAGCTGGGACTGCAGGCCTGGGCTAGGTTTGAACCCACCAGCCCCAGTGTATGGGCCAGCGCCCTAGCCACTGAGCTACAGACACCGAACTTGAAATGTTTTTATTATAGGAAAGAGAGGCAATAATTTCTTTAGTTTCAGAAATCAAATATATACCAAGAGTAAACTCTGACTTAATCTAGTATGAGTTTTGTTTATCAAGGTCAAGTCACTAGAAGACTATTATTATTGTTGTTGTTATTATTATTATCATTATACTACATTAGTAAATGAGGCAGCATATCCCTTTTTGACAAAACTATTAACTCATTTTCTAAAATTTTGAAATCTGGATTGTAGATCCTAGAATAAAATTCTATGTTTGTAGTAATTTTTCTTAGATGAAACTTTTTTACCCTTTGTTTTATTCCTCAGAAACTGACTTGTCTGTTATTCTTTTTTATTTCTCCAACACAGACTATATTAGACTTTGATTTCAGCTCTGATAGAAGGCAGACTCCTCTTTTAGAATTACAATATGGAAAGTGGGAAACAGTCATGGAGAAAGTATATTAGGCTTTATAGACCGGCATAAACTATACTTGTGAAATTTTTAAATCCTGAATAAATCAAATTTGGGTAATTTTTTTTCTCTGTCAGTAGCAAAATACTAGCTGGGTAGCATTCTAATTATAAATTTTCTGAAACTCTGCTCATATATATTTATGTATAATTGGTTGCCAAAGAATCTTAAGCTAATTTAAAAACCATAGTTTTTTAAAAGGAGACTCTTCTTTTTTTCCCTCCTTTGTCTCCTTTTTTGGGGGGGTGGGGGGAGACAGTCTTAAGCTGTCACCCTGGGTAGAACGCTGTGGCGTCACAGCTCACAGCAACCTCTAACTCTTGGGTTTATATGATTCTCTTGCCTCAGACTCCCAAATAGCTGGGACTACAGGCACCCACCAAATGTCCAGCTATTTTTTGGTTGTAGTTGTCACTGTTTGGCAGGCCTGGGCTGGATTCGAACCTGCCAGCTCTGGTGTATGTGGCTAACTCCTTAGCCGCTTTAACTACAGGTGCCGAGCCCCTCCTTTGTCTCTTAAAGGTTATTTATTCTTCCCTTTCTTGAATGAGTAATCTATAAACATCTTTTGGTCTTTTCTTGCTTAATTTCTTTTGAGTCAAAAACATTGTAAATAATTCCTATTTTAAAGGTTTTGTCTTACATATAGTGTAGGTGGGCAAGAACTAATGTGTTCTTTTGAGAAAACTTGAAATACTACTACATATCTGAATTTCACATGGATTAGCGTTGTAACATTCACTTAGTGCTTTATTCCTAAAAATGTTTGACTAAAATTTTTTCAAGACCTACCCTCCCCATAAAAAACTAACAACAGTGAAGTAATGCTTTGCTTCCAAAGTTTTGTTGACATTGTGTCCTCTCTTAACATAATAATAGAATAAAATTAGGAACTGAACAAGAACAACCTGCAGCTTCAACTTGGGAAGTTTAAACATTTCTAAAGCACCCTGCTGAATGCACAAGAATCACACTGTACAGGTGTTCTGTGAATGAGTGTTGTGAGTCAATGCATTGCCAGAGATATCTGTATATGCCTTACTTTTTTCTAGGTTGTATGGAAAGGCTGTGTCAGCCAAAGCTGTTGGTTAGTACCGATTTGGTTGGCAGTTATGAAGGGTTGCCAGCCCATCTCTAAGCCAGCACCTGGCTTGGTTGGTCAGCAAGCTTATAAAACCCACGTAAACTAGAATCTTGGTTCTTTGCTTTTTCTTTAGGTCCCTGTTATAGCTGTTACCACTTAGAGAAACTCTTTCCTGAAATTTCTTTTAAGTAGAATCTGCCTAATTATGACTTTAAAAAAGAAGAAGGCAAAATGTAAACAGTCGTGAGAGTTCAGGTTGTATTCTGAAATAAATGCTAGCTAAAAAGTAGCCTGGCCCCACTAAGAGATTGCAGACCAGTAGCCCTCTTTATCACTCTGGGCCTTGGGTTGTTAATCTGTGAAATAAAAGGATTGCAGTACATGGTTTGCCAGGCTTCTGTCAAGTACAGCATCAGATTCTAAGGTAATCTGAGGGAAGGTACTTATGGTCATTAACAGCATATTAAACAACACATTGAAGAACCTGAGAGAGAAGGGATAGGAAGTCTACTGCTTTTGCAGTTGTGAGGTCTAGCAATTATGAATCTTTTTTCCTTGGCCTCTCTACCACTTACGGGAGAGATTATTTTTCCAGAGAAGATACATAAAATATATTTTTGTTTTGTTTTGAGTAATAGCATTCTGTTTAAACTCTTCACTTTTTAAGAATTTTATTAATAGACTTAGGTTGATTAAGGCTTCTTAGAGGAGGCAAATGAAAGAGGGAATCATTCTTTGAAGCAGGTTGCTATTACACAGCCAGAAACCTCCTTTCTGGACATCAAAGAGCTTTAAACTACATGGCTTGGTTTAATCTGATGAGTCTCTTGCCCTTCCTAAGATGGACTTGTGGGGTTGAATAAAGCATGAAAGCTTTATTTGTCCTTTGGCAAGTAGGGGTGTGTGTGTGTATGTACTAAAAACATTACTCCTAGGCAATGTCCATTTTGGAGGAAAGAGACTTTTTAAATTGTGTTGAGTGCAAATACGTGAAACATGACACTGATGGAAATATTTCAAATATCCAGCAATAGCAAAAATGGAAGAATCAAGACCAGACCATCAAAAAGGAATCTCAATTTTTAATCCACCAAAGGAGACTTGGCTTAGAAAATTACATCTGAAAGCTGAGTCCAGAAAGCATAAGACTTCTCCTAGACAGCATCTATTGCCCTGAGGCTACCTGCTTTGTTTCCTGATGAGTAACTAGCCTCTGTAAACACACCCTCCATGTTCTCCTGGGCTGAGGGCAGATATTCAGGGTGACGAGGATCTCCCAGACACTCACTGCCTTCCCCCGCCCCCCTTCATTTCTCACACAGCACACGTGAAGAAGCATCAGTCTGTTCGTCCTCTTACGAGGAATATCTTTTATGGGAAATGTCCTTTGCCCAAATGCCAACTTGGGTCTTTAGCCACACTGAAATTCACTGATAGATACTGCACTGAGGTTGCCAGCTGTCTTACTTGTTAAGAGAATTAGTGATCTTTGTCAGGGTAGCTAGCAACCCCATCTATCTCTTACTATAATTACGTAGTTTAAAACTCTTTGCACCTATAATTTATCTCATATAATAAATTCAGGCTATTTATTTTAGTTTTCTGTTGATTTTCCCCCCCTTTAAAAAAAGTTGAGGTACAATTTACATTCAACAACATTCACAGATCTTAAGCATGCAGTTCACTTAATTTTAGCAGTAGTAAGAGTCTAATAACCTGTTAGCTTTTGAATTGGAAAACGGTTGGCTTACAAAATGATGCCGAGTTTGAAGACAGGATGTTGAGGTGCTTCTGTGAAGTGGAAGTACCTGTACAGGTGGACTGTGAACCTCAGCCTCACCAGCCTGCTGACCTCCTCTGCTCAGTGCAGGTGTTTATGTTAGTGGTCCCTCGGTGCTTTAGCACAGACAGAATCCGTGCTGATGCTTTCTTCTTCACACTACTGTGAACACTCCCTTGGAGCCTCCTATCGTGTGCTTGGTTTAAGTTACTCTGTGGCATCTGCCTCCCTGGGCACTGTTCTTAGGCATATGGGCCATGTGAAAGTGCCCGGAGTCTTCACAGGTCCTGTTCTCATAGAGGAGTCAGAAGCCTGACAGGGAAGCCTGACATGAGAAACCTTATCTGTCACTCTGATGGGGTCTCTTTTTCTTAGAATATGCCCAGCAAAGGCTGTTTCATGTTTCTCTGGAATTGTAAACTCTCAATGCTACCTGATGTCTCTCTTCCTTAATAGTTTATGAAATGCTATTTGTTTTGCGTAATTCTCCTTGGATTTTATACTGCAATAAAATGTTGCCAAGGTGAAATATTTTTACTGCAATAATTTCTGTTAATGAAATTTGTGTGGCTTTTACCCTGTTCTTCTTTTCAGACCACTTTCACACATACAAATAGTGATGGGTCAAGTTTATGTGTTCCTTCACATTGGGAAAGTAAAAACCATTCCCAGTTTACCTTTACATTTTCCTCTATTAAGATAAATGTAGTATTTTTTCCTAGATGGCCTGCCTTTCTCAAGTATGTTTTTCTTCCCTTGAATGAGATTGTATGCCAAAGTTACCGGAAGAGAAGAGGTTAGAGTAAGGAAATCAAAAGATATAGATATGTGGAAAAACTATTACATCTTAGAGCTGGTGGTAAAACAGAGTGTGCTAAATTAAGATAGCTTATTAAGAAACATAATGCTGAAAGATAGTGAACTGGTTTTCCATTCTTGTTTTTAACTGCAGCAAATTAAGTGATATGGATATTCTCATTTACGTTTAGTATCTATCCTATGAGAACTTTGAATTTCTGTAAAAATTTCACCTGCAATCCTAGCACTCTGAGAGACTGAGACAGGGGGATTGCCTGAGCTCAGGAGTTGGAGACCAGCCTGAGCAAGAACAAGACCCCATCTCTCTAATTTTTCTAAAAATAGAAAAATTAGCCCGATGTTGTGGTACATGCCTGTAGTCTCAGCTACTCGGGAGGCTGAGACAAGAGAATCTCTTGAGCCCAAGAATTTGAGGTTGGTGTCGGTGACTGGATGAGACTTTGTCTCAAAAAAACAACAAAAAAGGAATTTCTTAAACTTGTATGATACGATGCTTTACACTTCTCAGAGTTTCTTTGTACTTTATGCTTTTCAGAAATTTCAGTGTGCTACACCACATATCCCATGTTGACCCGGTGGTACAGACAGGGAGATAAATTTCCAACTAAAGATGAAAACCAAGGCCCACTGTTGGGATGTTTTCAAGGTTAACTCTGCCAATTAAAGAAAACCAAATTAACTAAAACTTACTAGCATTAGTTCACTCTCCTACAATTCCAAGGTCTCTGTATGAATCTCAACACATTTCTCACATCTCCACCACTTAACAAATTTTCTAAGTAAAGAGAAAATTCTCACACAGCCCACTTACCTGGACTGGATCCAGTGTTCAGACCTTGAGATAAAAATAAACTTAGTAATAACCAAAAAAAAAAAATTCTTGGCTAATCCCTAGACCAAATCAGAAAATTAATCTTGGGTTTTTAAGAGTTTAGGGTATTTTTGAATTTTTGAGTCATATCTCTTATTTTCAGCTAATATTCTTATATTTTTTGTAATATACAGAGGAGTACAGTGGAAAGAATGAGGGCTTGCTTGTTTTGAATATAGGTATTTACTAACTTTTTTATTTTGGACCGATTATTAAGTTTCTCTAGATTCTTGATTCCCTAAAATCTAAAATGGAATATTACTACCTCAGATTTGTAAAGACTTAATGAAATAATATAAAAAGCTTTAGTTTTATTCTTTTAGTTTTTGAACCAATTACCCCTAAGGGATGTAAGAAGGAATTTTATTTTTATTTATTTATTTATTTATTTATTTATTTTGGTGACAGTGTCTCACTTTGTCGCCCTTGGTAGAGTGCTGTGGCATCATAGCTCACAGCAACCTCAAACTCTTGGGCTCAAGAGATTCTCTTGCCTCAGCCTCCCAAGTATCTGGGACTACAGGCGCCCACCACAATGCCCAACTACTTTTTTTTTTTTTTTTATTGTAGTTGTCATTTACCAGGCCCAGGCAAGGTTTGAACCCGCCAGCTCCGGTTTCTTTGGTTTGGCTGGCTCCATAACCCCTGAGCTATGGACATTGAGCCCTAAGAAGGAATTTTTAATCTCATATTTAAATAGCAATTGCAGTACTGTATGGTGTGCGGCTCTGGCAGATTCCCTCTTCTCCATCATATTTGCCTTTTAAGAGGGATAGTTATTAATCATTTGGCCTTTGTTTTTATTGTTTACGTAATATGTCAGTAGATTTGAGGGATATTTTAAAAAGCTGACAAAAATGTCATTGTTCTGCCTTTCTTTGATTATTCCTTTCACAGAGGATCTTCAAATGCTTCCTTAAAGGAAGACGAATACAAGGAGCCTTTGCTCTTTCATGCTGGAGATCACTACCCCTTATCTGATGGAGATTGGTCCCCTTTAGAGAAGTAAGTGTCTTTCAGATTTCTTGGTTTCTTAAAGAGGAAGAACTTCCATAGTTGACCTAATTAATGCACATGCACGTGTCAGTATACTAGGCTTACTTCCCTATGTTGACCAGGTTGTTACAGTCCCTTGGGTGGTCAGCTTAACAGAGGGTTCTGTATTAATTTGTTTTTCTATTATTTAACAGTAATGAATATTTCCCATTTCTTTCATGTAGCGGAGTCACTAAATGTTTGCTTTTAACATAAGTATGAACCTTTTTTCAATTTTGTTTCTAAACTTGATCAGACTTACTGTACAGTGTTGGCTAGTTGTTGATCTGTATAATCAGTATAGAGTTTGACCATCTACAGTTCATACATTCTAATCCTTTAGTGTCAACTATTGACTAAATGTGAATAATATAATGAAAAAACATGTAGTCACACTGTTCTACAGTTAGATCTTCAGGTATCACTTACGGTAATTTACCTGCCTCAATCTATTTCTTTTAATCTGTTGACCTACTTTGAAGTCATAATGGATCTTTGTTGCATTTGTAGCACCTATTCCCAGACAGCATGTCCTAAGAGTGATTCAGAGCTGGAGGTGAAACCCACTGAGAGCCTGCTCAGATCAGAGTCCCACATGGAGTGGACATGGGGAGGATTTCCAGAATCTACCAAGGTATTAAGGTGTATTTGCCCATGGAGGTTGTCTGATTGGACTTGGAATCCCTCCACCCATGAGGAAAGGAGGCAGTTTCTGACTGAGCTCTTGTGGATTTATTAATAAACGATGGGAGTGCCCTCATGTGGTCATAAAAGTAAACCTAAAGTTAACGTTTTTCATAATATTTCCACTACATGTTTACCACAAAAGGAATCCAGCAGTATTTCACATTTCTATGTAGTGAACAATAATATTGTTAATATAAGAAAAATTTAAAAGACACCTTAAAGGAAACTAAAATGTACACTGACATTTTAAACAGGAAATCCATTATTAAAGTTTTGTTGTTGTTGAAGGGGCCAGGCCCTGTGGCTCATGCCTCTAATCCTAACACTCTGGGAGGCCAAGGTGGGACAATCACTTGAGGGCAAGAATTCGAGAGCAGCCTGAGCAAGAGCAAGACCCCTGTCTCTATTAAAAATAGAAAAAAAAAATGAACTGGATGCAGTGGTGTGTCATGGTCCCAGCTACTTGGGAAGCTGAAGCAAGAAGATCACTTGTGCCTGGGAGTTTGAGGTTGCAGTGAGCTATGATGCCACCACTGCAGTACTGTACCGAGTAACAGAGCAAGACTCTGTCTTTTTCAAGTAAACAAACGATCTTTTTTTTTTTTCTTTACCACCTTATAGTGAAAGAAGAAACAACTGGGAAGATACATTTTTTGAGAGAGAAAATGATTAGATTCTGTATTGAATTTAGTTTTTAAAAGATACACATTTTGCTTTTATCTATGATTGAAGGTAGACTTAACTTGCCACTTCTATACTGGTTTGTTTTGTTTTTTATTCACTTTTGAAGGATACCCACTTGTACACTGTTTTAACAGAGCCTGAGGTGGTCCAGACAGGGCTAAATTTTCATTTAGTTTTCTCCTCTGGAATGAATATTCTCTGCCTCTTAGTATCTGAAAATTGTCTTAGTTCCTCATAGCCTTCCCCAGTGTTTAACTCTTCACTTGTAACTATTTTATAAATATCATGATATTGAATAAAACACAATTGTTAGTTTTTACCCACTATTATGAAATATTTCACATTCAAAATAATATATTCAATGAATGAGTTGTTATAAATAAAATGAACACAATTACCAGCTTAAGAAATGGATCACAGGCTCGGCGCCTGTGGCTCAAGTAGCTAAGGCACCAGCCACATACACCTAAGGTGGTAGGTTCGAATCCAGCCTGGGCCTGACAAACAACAATGACGGCTGCAACCGAAAAATAGCCGGGTGTTGTGGCAGGCACCTGTAGTCCCAGCTACTTGGGAGGCAGAGGCAGGAGACTTGCTTGAGTCCAGGAGTTGGAGGTTGCTGTGAGCTGTGATGCCACAGCACTCTACCCAGGGGGAAAGCTTGAGGCTCTGTCTCAAAAAAAAAAGAAATGAATTACAATAAACACCTTGAAAAATCGTGTAATTTTTAAACAATATAACTTTTTAGGTCAGCAAAAGAGAAAGAACTGACTATCATCCCAGGACGGCTACAATTACACCATCAGAAAATACCCATTTTCGGGTAATTCCCAGTGAGGACAGCCTCATAAGTGAAGTTGAGAAGGATGCTTCCATCGAAGACACTGTCTGTCCTATAGTGAAACCTAAGCCCAGAGCCCTGTGTAAGCAGTTGAGCGACACCCCTCCCACTGCAGAGCTCCTCCAGCCTCTGGAGAGTCCCCAGATTCTATCTATGTTAGATGTGGACCACCTTCCCAGCCCATCCTCAGCAGAGGCTGCCTCGGAATCCAAACCAGCAGCTAAAGTAGACTCCCCGTCAAAGAAGAAAGGTAATCATTTGCTTACTGGCATCAGGTGCATTTCGATGATAAATTGTGTCAGTGTTTGAAATACAGTACTATGTGGTGGCTACCTTTATGTTTGTATTCCTGGTCAGAACCTTCACGCCTTCTTTTGCTCACTTGGTTACTGTGGCCTCTCCTTTGGGAAGTCCAGTTGAAACAAGGCTCCGACTCATCACTGCTTCCTCTTGCTGGCTGCTACTCAGTTAATGAGTGATAGTAACCACTTTATTGGCCAGATATGTCAATTAAGTGAAGGGAAATCTTAAACAGAAAAAATGAGAATAGAAAAAATATTTTTACTTGAAACTTTGTTTAGTTAAGGTCAAGTACAGGATAAAAATGTACCATAATTATTGGTACACGAGTCATTATGAAAGTTTTGAGACGTACAAAAATCACGAAACATAAATCTGTTCAGATGGAAACAAATGAAGCTCTCCAGCAACACAGACAGACCAAGCAAGTTAAACTTGGATGGTTGACTCAGAAAGGACACTGCCCCCTGGGGACAGTGCTCACGCCTGTAATTCTAGCACTCTGGGAGGCTGAGGTGGGAGGATTGCTTGAGCTCAGGAGTTCAAGACCAGCCTGAGCAAGAGCAACTCTGTCTCTACTAAAAATAAAAAAGTTAGCCAGGCATAGTGGTGGGTACCTCAGGTCCCTAAGAGGCTAACGCAGGAGGATCACAGGAGTTTGAGGTTGCTGTGAGTTAGACTGATGCCCCAGCACTCTAGCCTAGACAACAGAATGAAACTCTGTCTTAAAAAAAAAAAAAGGATGCTGTCAACTGTTTCTTGGAAGTGAAATAACGGACCATAACACAGTTTGTCTCAAAACTTTTGTAGTAACCCACACATGTACTCTCCTTTCATTGATTATTTTCTTTCTAAACTGGGTAGAAAATAGGATCCACTCTTGGCTCAGTGGTGCTGTCTCACTTTTAACACACAAACTGAATCAGAATATTATTAGCTATTTAAAAATAGAATCATTGGTACTTGGTACAGCAAGAGCTAGGACGCATACACTCTGTGAATATTGGACTTGAATTCTGCTTTTAGGGAAGTGTGAAACTTTACAAAAATCACCCATCTTTATACATAGCCAGTGATCTACTTCATTAACCCCAAAGGTTAGACAGTCACGGACTGACTTAATAAATGTCCACCATACATATGGACCTTCAAGGTCACTCAGATGATTTATCTAAAATAAAAGAATGTGACTGTCAAGGGTGTTTGAGGCCAAATCTGACCATCCAGCTGATGGTGGCCTAACTCAGCACCTGCTCTTTCACCAAAGGCCCATAACCACTTGTTCTGCTCTAAGAAATGTTAAGGTAGAAAATGTAGTTCTTCCAGGATGAATACTTTCTTTTAGCCTAAGCACTAATGACATCTATTTTTGGCTTAGCACATAGTGTAGTAGCTGACTAGAGACAGGAACGCTTAGTGGTCACCACCACTATTTTGACCTCATTCTTATTTCCTCTTTTAGATGAAAAGTTTTATACGTATTTTTTGATTCTCTTCACTCTCACACATACAGTTTTTTACTGTTGTAAAACACTTGAAAATAAATGATAGGCATAACATTTTACTCTTAGATACTCTAAGACAACCATTCTAAGAATATTTTCTGCTACCCGGGAGGCTGAGGCAGGAGGATCACTTAAACAGAGGAGTTTGACATTTCCGTGAGTTAAGCTGACACCACGGCACTCTAGCCCAGGGAACAGAGTAAGAATCTTGTCTTTAAAAAAAAAAAAAAAGGCCAGGCATGGTGGCTCATGCCAGTCATCCTCACACTCTGAGAGGCTGAGGCAGGTGGGTCGCTTAAGCTCAGGAGTTTGAGACCAATCAATCTAAGCAAGAGAGAGACCCCATCTCTTAAAAAATAGGCAGGCATTGTGGTGGGCACCTTGTAGTCCCAACTACTCAGGAGAATGAGACAAGAGAATCTCTTAAGCCCAAGAGTTTGAGGTTGCTGTGAGTTATTATGCTACAACACTCTATCAGGGGTGACAAAGTGAGACTCTGTCACAATAAATTAAATAAATAAATTCCACATTTACATCTCCCCAAATATACCAAGAATTTTTTAGCTTGCTATTTCCCCAAACCAAAATCCCATCTAGGTTCACATGTTGCATTTGGTTTTTGTTTCTTTAATCTTCTTTCTAAACAGCACCCTATCAACTCTCCCCCCCTATGTCCACTCTCCTGTATACCCCTACTCACCCTGGTCCCCTGTCTGCACAGTGACCTTTGAAAGAACCCAGCCACTTGTTGACTTCCTCATGTTCTGAATGTGTCTGGTTGTTTTTTCATAGTGATGTCTATATATTTTCTTAACTGAAAATTAGTTCTATAACAGTATTATTCGGTAGAAATGGAATATGAGCCATATATATAAAAAATATATAAATTTGTGTCTTTTTGTAGTCACTTTATTTTTAAGGTAGTGGCAGGGTCTTTGTTGCCCAGGCTGGGCTCAAACTTCTCATCTCAAGCAACTCTCCTGCCTCAGCCTCCCTAAATGCTAGAATTACAGGCATGAGTCACTGCTGAGCCAGTAGCCACAGAGATGATAAATAGTGTAAGTTTAATATGTAATCAACATAAAAGTTGCTAATGAGCTCTTTTCCATTTTTAGAGTAAGTGGTGTGTTTTACACATTTTTAAATGCATTTTTCATGTCTGTCTTTAGACTAGCAGCAATTCTAAGTTGCTCAGTAGCCACACATGGCTGGGGGCCACTACAGTGGTTAGTTCAAGTCTAGAAGCTTAATTAGATTTAAGGCATATTCTAAGTACTTCTATTGTATCTCATGACCTGCTTAGTACTGCTACATGTGGTCATTGTTTAATGTGTTGTCTACCACATCTATTCAACAGGCAAATAAGGAAAGGATTTTTTTCCTTTTTTTAATTAGAAGATAATATGCGGTTTGGTACTTGGGCACCACAGAATATCCATCCTATTCCCTGACAACCTTTCCTTCTCACTTCTGGTGATGGCCTTCAGTTTGGTCGTGCTTATTCCTACCTATAAATATTTAAAAAAAAAAGAAAAAGAAAAAGAAAACACTTCTACCATTAAATCTGAGTTATTAAGGGGCTAGGGTTGTTTATGTAACAGTAAATGAAGGAATGAGTCGTGGACATGTTTATTGAGTGCTGAACCTCTCTTCCACTAGCATAGATGGTTAACCAACACAACCAAAGAGGTAATTGACACCTTTAAAAATAAAACCCTGTTCAAATCATGGTCTGTATTATTTGCAAACCTTCGTGGGTTTTGTAGAGTTAACAGAATTGAAGAATAATTTCTTACCTCTGATTTTTTTTTTTTTTTGATATGTAAAAACAGGTATCCACAAGAGAAGCCAGCACCAGGGACCTGATGATATTTACCTTGATGATCTAAAGGCTCTAGAACCTGAAGTTGCAGCTCTCTATTTCCCTAAAAGGTAGTATGCTCCTGTGTACCACAGGGTGGACAACTCTGAAATAATTCTAGTTACCTGTAGAGCAAAACATTTCATCTGGGGAAAAGGAGCAACTCAGTGTCCCTTAGCCACCTTGATGGCTTCAGGTTTTGGAAAATTCAGAAATACTGTGTGGTTTCAACTGTTAGGACTTGAAATTAATAATTACCTATTTTTGAAGACATTTTCAATACAATGAGGAAAGAGACACTAATTACACTTACATAAGGACATAGGAATTCAGATAAGCTCTTTTTAGTCATTAATGCAAACTCAACATGCTTGGGAAGTTTCTTAGCTTGCTTTATTTATTTATTTATTTATTTATTTTTTTTCTAATGCTTTCACTCCTTTGGAGAGTAAGCTCTGGAGCCTTTTCTAAACTCCAGCCTGACCTGTGTGCCCCACATTCCCTGTAGCTTCCCCAGTTTCACACAGCCTCCCTCTCTGGCCCTTACCAATTTCCCTTTGACTAACTTAAATATGGTAACACTCGGACTGTCTTCCCAAGTTCATTTCCATTCTTAGGGGAATTCATTATAATAGTCTGGTTACAAAAAGCAGCAGAACTTTTTCTTCACAGTATCTACTGAGTCATAGGCAGGTATAATTGAAACGAGTTGTTGAAAAACATGCTTCACTTTTTATTTGGAATAGGACTGACATAAAGATATTTAAAATATAAGTATTTGGGGGAGCTTCTTAAAACTCTTACTTAGCTTTGTACCCTAAATTTGTCTCATAATAACTACTTCATTTGAAGTAATAGTTGGATTTTTTTTAAGGTAAGGAAGCTGAAACTTCTTTTTTAAAAATAGGGAGAGTAGGCCTGGGACTGGTGCTTCGCACCTGTAATCCTAGCACTCTGCTGGGAGGCCAAGGCGAATGTGTTGCCTGAGTTCACAGGTTCTAGACCAGCCTGAGCTGGAGCAAGATCTCATCTCTGAAAATAGCCTTGTTGCAATGCAAGTTCCTGTAGTCCCAGCTACTTAGGTGGCTGAGGCAAGAGAATTGCTTGAGCAGGAGAGGTTGAGGTTGCTGTGAGCTCTGACACCATAGCACTCTACCAAGGGTGAGAAGGTGAAATGAGACACTGTCTCACAAAAGAAAAAAAAAATTGGGAGAGTAATGTGATAGGACCTTTATGTTATTACTCTACTATAAGTTAACTATATAGGGTCCTGTCCATCCACTGAGTAAGCTTCTTGCCTCATAAATTATTTCTTGAGACATTCCATAAATACTTAAAAATAGTGAGACTCTTTTAATGCTTATCAGCATTTGTTTTGTCACATTTGTTATCTTTAATACTAAATATCCAGTATTTGTAATTATAGATAAACTTTGATTTGGCAGCATGTTGAGTCAGATGGCATTAGATCTGAGTAGATTTGTTATTTTTCTTTGGGATAACCTTAACTGCTGTAACTAATAAAACTGAAGGTCTCCTTGGCTTACCACAGTAGAAGTTTGTTCTTGTTCATGTGGTAACAGTCACTGTTGGTGTTTGGGTGAGTGGAGGCCACACGGTCCTTCCCCAGGCAAGAATTCAAGGTTTACAAGCAACAGGCAGGGAAAGAAGGGAGCATGACAGAGGAGAGGGCTCCCTGGGAAAGAGGCGCACAGCCTTCATGTCTCCATCAGCAGCTCAGTCACATAGTCAAGTGGCCACACCTGACTTCCAGGGGAGGCCTTGCGGCCATACCCATTTAAGAGACACAGGTGTTGTGAATGAACACGTAGGTTTTGCCAAGGGTTATCCTGGGCCTGCCCTCCCAGCTTAACAAAAGGTTTTGCTACTTTACATTTCCAGTGAGAACATTCTGTCCATCTAATTATTCTCAATTTTGCGGTGAGTGTACATTGCTATGGAGAGAAAAAAATTCAAAAAGCCTAAATCTTTGGTTGATTGAAATGCCCAACACAGTAACTTCTGAGACTGCCTTCTACTTATGGTGTGCCCGTGCTCTGCTGCCACCTCCTGTTCAGAGTTGAGATTTTTATTCAAAAGATCTAAAACTTCACAAGATCTCCTTACTTATTGTTTTCTAAAGTCAAATGTTCAAAATACTACCTCCTTGGTTTTTTTCTCTCAAATTTATTCTCTATTACAAGAGGTTTCTCTCTTTTTTTTTTTTTTTAAAGACAGAGCTTCACTATGTTCCCTGAGCTAGAGTACTGTGGCATCATAGCTCACAGCAACCTCAAACTTCTGAGTTCTAGTGATCCTCCTGCCTAAGCCTCTCCACTAGCTGGGACTATAGGCACCAGCCACCACACCTGGCTAATTTTTCTATTGTTATTTATTTATTTATTTATTTGAGACAGAGCCTCAAACTGTCGCCCTGAGTAGAATGTTGTGGCATCACAGCTCAACTCCTGGGCTGAAGCGAGTCTCCTGCCTCCGCCTCCCAAGTAGCTGGGATTACAGGCGCCCGCCACAACGCCTGACTATTTTTTTTTGGTTGTAGCCATCATTGTTGTTTGGCGGGCCAGGCTGGATTCAAACCCGCCACCTTAGGTGTATGTGGCTGGCGCCTTAGCTACTTGAGCCACAGGCGTTGAGCCTTATTTATTTTTTTTAATTGCGACAGAGTCTCATCTTTGTTACCCACAGTGGAGTGCAGTGACATCATAGCTCACAGCAACTTCAAATTCTTGAACTCAAGAGATTCTCTTGCCTCAGCCTCCCGAGTACCTGGGACTACATGTGCCCGCCACAATGCCTGGCTAGTTTTTTTGGTTTAGGCTTGTCTCAAACTCCTGAACTCAAAGGATTCTCCCATCAGTCTTCCAGAATTTAGGATTATAGGCATGAGCCACCATGCTGGCCAAGACGTTTCTCTTAATCACTTGAAACCTGGTTTTTGTGCCTTGTTAATCTAGGAAATGAAAATATTGAGTAACTTCATCTTTGGTACTGGCATTTATTAATAAGAACTCCTATAAAAAGTTTACTTCGAGTTTATTTCTCAGTACATTTCTTTTTCTGCTCCTGGGAATTTTTTCATGCTTTAATTTCTGTTTCCTTTGTTCTGGAGCCATAGATGAACTTTAAAATGCCCGTTTTTTAAAATAATATATGGACTACAGTAACTTTCTATAGGATGTACATGAGTACCACAGCCTTTTTTAGGAAGTTAGGATCAAAAGGTTTTTCAACCATCGTATTTTCTTAATTACCCTGTCATTTTCATTGTGGAAATACAAATAAATGCTTATAACTCTTTTCCTCCTTTAATTAAAGTCAGAAAGGCCTCAGTTGAAATGTTGACATTATGGTGAATGTAGTGATTCTGTAACATATTTACTGTATTCACAGTTAACTCCTCAGTAGCACTGTGTTAGGTTGCCTAAACCCTAAGAAAAGCTATGTCTTGTTGTCCATCTGCCCCTTTCTGTAGGGGTGTGTTGTTTAGTTTGAGCTCCCTAGAGCTGCGCAATAAGCAAGGCGTATGAGAAGTTGTAATCAATCTTTTTCTCTCCCATCCACTGCCCATAGTGAATCAGATCCTGGCTCCAGGCAGTGGCCCGAGTCTGACACACTCTCTGGCTCCCAGTCGCCACAGTCTGTGGGAAGTGCAGCTGCTGATAGTGGCACTGAGTGCCTCTCGGATTCTGCCATGGACTTGCCAGATGTCACCCTCTCCCTGTGCGGGGGCCTCAGTGAGAATGGAGAAATTTCTAAAGGTGCGCTGGGTGGTCATGCCCTGCCTTCCCTTCAGGGAGCAGCCTGGTCATCTCCAGATTAAAACCTGCCGCTAGCTGTTTGGGTGCTTACGTTGTTTGGTGCTCTTGTTCAAGTAACAGGTATTGTTCTGTAATGTCAGACCCTCGGACCTTTATTTTGAAGAACCTTTTATGGTATGGCTTTGGTGAGGGAGTGTTCCTAAAGGGCTCTGATTTCAAGTGAAGAGGTCGAGGTTCTCAGGCTGCCCTGTTTGCTAAGTGGCCAGGAGCCAGTCACATGGGGTTGGTTTTCCCATCTGGGAAGTTAACTGAAATATTTGTGGGACTAGGGTCCAGCTACCCTCCTGGAAAGCACTGTGCCTTAGACATGAATGTAGGAGCCTTAAGTTAGAGAGAATTGATTGTCCACAGAGGAAATGGGGTTCTGGCAAAAAGTAGAAGGATTCTAGTACTTTCTCAGACTCAGTATAGAAAGCGTGCCCACGAGTAAGGAAGGTCCTTAGAGGTAGTCAGTCCATCTCCAGGGGGGTTGAGCACCCATGTGTGCTAAATTCTTCAGCTTTTTGGTTTTTATCCTTCTCTTGAAACTAAACTTGAGTGTTTTCTCAGTTTGGCTGGTGGCCTCTGATTCCCTCTAAGGAAGGGTTTTCTCTGCCCGAGTAGCATCATCTCCTGTCTTCTTTCGTCCTCAGAGGAACTAAGGCCTGATGTGGCCTCCTGGGTGGCCAGAGCCTTCAGAGTATATGTCCTGAAGTTATTCCTTTACTAGGGTCTCACAGATGCTTTCTATCCCTCCTTAGTCTCTCCTCTTCATTGTTTTGCTTTATATTTACAAGAAGTTAAGAGTAAGTTATGGTTCCTCCAAAAGTTAATAGATCATATTCTCTTAGTAATCCTCATATTTTAATCCTGTTAAAAGTTATATGAGAGGTGTTGAAAAATTTAGAATTTATATAAAATATAAAATTTACAGTTTTGTTTTAAATATTTCTATCTTAGACTGGTAGAATTTGCTATTGCAAGAGGCAGAAATGGCAAGTAAGAGTAAATAATAATACTTAATGTTAAGTGTTAAATAAAAAGTGTTATTATTTACTCTTATTAGCTGGAGGAACAATCTAAGTGAGAAATTTCTGTTAGCCTGCATTTCCTAGGGTACAAGTTTAGGATTGGGAATCAAAATTCATGTAAATTCACATTTGCTCAGCAAGAGTTTAGGATTTATTTCTTGACAGACCCTGGCCAAATTCTGGGTTTACATTTTTATTCTCCAAGCAGTTGTAAAATGTTCCATTTTTTTCCTAAGTAGCAGGCCCTTAAAACTGTAAGACCCCTGTGAATATTCCCCAGTTATGCAGTGGCTGCCTGTAAAGTTCCTCCATCTGATGTGAATGAGACTTACAACGTTCATCAGTTACAGTGTGTGTGTCTCTCTTTCCTTCCCTCTCTGGTCACATTTGTAATCTACTCTCTAAAAGCCTCTGGATGTCTCTTTTTCTTGTTTGTTTATTTTAATTGGCAGAGCAGTGTGGAAGAGGGGGAGAATAGAAAAGAAGTATTCCTTCTTGTGGGGAAAAAAGGGTATGACGTTTGCTTTTGATGGGGTTTTAAAAGTCAGTTCTTTGAGAGTTTCTTTTAGCCTATAATTTCTGCAGAGATTATTGTAGTAACCTCATATGGGAATTTATGTAATGTGTAACCAAATTGATTATTATTATTTAACATTGCAGAAAAATTCATGGAACATATCATTACTTATCATGAATTTGCAGAAAACCCTGGACTCATAGACAATCCTAACCTTGTAATACGGATATATAATCGGTAAATTACTCTTTGCTTTTATAATTGTTTTTTTTACAAGCGCAAACTTGTAAAACTTTTAACTATTAACAGTTTTTCTTGTTATAAAATTTGTCATCTCATATAAATGAACTAGTGAGCGGTGACTTTGAACTTAAAGTTCAGCTTTGACTCTCGTAACATTTCAATGCCTATTTAAAAATAATCTATTTGATAGATTTTACTCCTCTGTTTGGAGAAGTTGGACTTGAGGTAAGGATTATTCATGTGACAAAAAATTTAGCTGATATCTTTTTATTGAAGAGAATGAGGAATTGTACGTTATTTCTACTACTCTCTTCTCTCCTTTCCCCCCGCTTTCTTTTTCCCTGTGTCTTGCTCACTTGAACTGTCTGATGGTTTTTACAACCTTTGTTTCTTGCAGTTACTATAACTGGGCATTGGCTGCTCCCATGATCCTCAGCTTACAGGTGTTTCAGAAGAGTCTGCCCAAGGTGAGAAGATCTACCATTTGTTTATTGCTTTCTTAAAAGTGTCAGCAGCTACAGTACTTAGAAAATCTGGATGTGCATATTGTTGAACTAGATACCATTCAAAGTCTTACTCGAATTTAATATTTAATAGAAAAAAATCAAAGATTCATACATGCTGACTAAAAATACCTCATGCCCAAATGCTAGGAAATCCGCTGGGCTGCCACTTCCTTCTGTCATTTTTATTAGATATTTTATACCAGTTTTTGATGATGTATTAAAGTTGAGAGATTTTTACTAATTTAAGTATGACATAAATGAGGAAAAAACCTTTTTCCTCTAGGTGGGAAGAAGCATCAAGAAAGAGGGTAATATGATCAACAGAAACTTGATAGGTAGTAATAGTGTGGGGCGGTCAGACTGTGACTGAGACACCTCCTATGTAGAACCTCAAGGTTTGTTTTTAATGTGTCCACAAGAAGATGTCATCAGCCTCATTTGGTCCTCATGAATCCTGAGGACCACATTTCCCAAAAGTTGAGCAATGAGAGCTGCTCACCTGGCGTGGGTTGTACACAGCCCAGCCACCTTGCCTTGTGCCACAGAACTGCCACAAAAGCCGTGCTGCTGTGAAAGCAGGACAGTGTCTGTCTGTCATGGATACAAAGACACAGAGGCATTTGGGAGGTGTGGAGAGCATCACTCCCAGTCTGTCATTAGGTGCCATGCCCAGGCTAACTCATGTTGGTTATTTGCAGGCCACAGTTGAGTCCTGGGTCAAAGACAAGATGCCAAAGAAATCTGGTCGCTGGTGGTTTTGGCGTAAGAGAGAAAGCATGACCAAACAGGTAACAGACCCAGAGGTTAGTAGTTTCTGTGGGCTGAAAGAAGTGAATCTTTCATTAATTCATAAAGCCTTTTTGTCAAGCACAAAAAAGTGGGCCATACATACAGTACTGTTTACAGTAGTACTGTTATTGGTTTTAAGCAGTTACTGCATGCAAGTGCTGTGCTGGTCTGTGTGGTCTTTGGCCTTTACTATCGGTCAGTAAAGGGATGTTTGAATTGCCCTACAAGTAAGAAAAAGCTGTATGCACAGAGAAGGCATATATAGTCTGATGAGGTCATGTAATTGGTGAGGGATGAGCTAAGGCCTTGCGTCTGACATCGTAGGCTGTGTTCTTCTTACTTCTCTGCTTTGCCTTTCAGATATAAAAAAGTATTATCCTCCTAAACCACTACAGGTATAAATAACCAGAATCTGTTTTAGTAAGACACCCACCGAAGAAATTCATAGTATGGCTAGGGAGCCATACTAAATGAGCAGGAGACCAGCTCTTCATTGCCCAAGGCCTTCTGAAAAAGAGGGTTTGGGGTTTTTACCTGTTGTTCAAATGTTAGAAGGGTAGCTCTGCCCGAATCAAGTTCACATCCACATCAGTTTGGGGCAGCCACATCAGTTTCCAGTCCCTTCTGCATGGGCTCAGCCATTCCCCAGAGAAGGAAGCATCAGTCAGTTATATTCTGCAGATACCAGGAGGAATCTCTGCCAGGGACTTAACCAGTTTAGGACTTGTAGCTTTGTAGGTACTGCTTTCTGTATAGCAGCACATGACTTCTACCTTAGGTTTCTGTTCTTTCAGTCAAATGAGAGAAAGTCTGGTTTTTGAGCATTTTAAGTTGTGGGTTCAGAACAAACCACACAGCCCTGGAGAAGACTGCTATCAGATCTGGGCTTACCCGGAGGCAGAACATTGCCATTACCATCTTCCTGTTTTAGCTGCCAGAAGCCAAGGAGGGGAAATCTGAGGTGCCGCCAATCCGTGACCTCCCGTCAAGTGCAAAGGAGCCAGCAAGTGCCAGGTGGGCACCCTGTCCTTCCCCCCAGCTCACGTGCCCGGGCTACTCCTGCTTAGCCATGGCTTCTAAATTGATCTTGGCCACTTAGTTTAATTCTTAGAAATGCATTCTCTTATAGATAAGACTGTAAGTGGTATGTTTGTGCCACTCAGCAGATGACACTGCATTTCTAAAATACATTATCATCTTAGAGGAGCAAATACGCTCATCATTGCTTCCTGAACACCTTGTGCCATCATGATCAAGTGCCTGGGACGGCAGCACTGTGGGAAGGGATGTGTAGAGGAATTGTCCCCCATGTCCATGCTCCCCTTGCTTCCTCTCAGGTGCCAGAGGAAGACATGAAAAATAATCTATCTAAAGGGTTGGTTGGGGTGAATTTCATTTTCCAGGAGAAGTGGCCCCTCGGACACTGGCCTCCCTGCCAGTGGCTGCCGTTCTCGTCTTTGCTCCCTCCCCTGCAACTTTCATTGGGGGTCTAAGTTAGGGCATTTACTTTCTTGCTCCTTACTCTCTTTGAAGGGGTGTGTAAAATCCTTCTTACTAGTTTTCTTACATCATGAACAATTATACTTTCTTTCAATTTGTAATTTTGAAACATACACATCAATAAGAGTCAGTAGGCCTTATAGCATTCCTGGGGAATGGCAGAAAGTAAGAGCTCACCACCAGGAAGGAGCTGTTTGCCAGTTTTGAGAGGAAGGAGCAGGTGGCCTTAACAGTTAATCATTTGAATATTCAAATGATTGAATATGTGCTCCTCAGGCACATGAGGAGCTCTGGATATGGGAGAATGGCAGAGAGAATAACTCTTTTCTTCTGTAGAAAGGATTTCCATTTGTTCCTGAATGTAAAGCTGTCATAGTGAAATGCCCTGTTGCCTCTTGAATAACTGGGTTGATGTGCAATAGGCCGGCCGAGGATGACTCCTCAAGTGATGAGGGGTCTCAAGAGCTTGAAGAATCAATCAAAGTGGACCCTATCCCCATGGAGCCCCTGAGCCACGGCAGCACAACTTCATATAAGAAGTCCCTCCGACTCTCCTCAGACCAGATTGTGAGTTCTGTGTGATCCACGTGGGTCCAGTAGGACTTGAGTAACTGTTTGATGCAGTTCCTCTCCTGTCCACTGCCTTCCCCAGCTGAGTATGTGCTACATGATGTCGTATCAATATTTAGCCACAATGGAGCAACTCCTACCTGAGGGGCCCAGTGTTCCTCCATTCAGCCCATACCCCCTTCCTCAGTCTCTGGGAATGAGCTCAGGAAGCTGTATATATATATTTTTTGTTTCCTTGCTTATTTTTAATTTTTATTTCTTTGCTTTTTTGTTGTTGTTGAGACAGTCCCACCCTATGCCCTGAACAGAGAGCAATGCGTCATAACTCATTGCAACCTCAGACTTGGGCTGTGGGTATCCCTCCCTCCCTCTGCCTCAGCCCCTGGAAGCTGCTGGGATTGCCACTGCACCTGGCTGGCTTGGAGTCGGGGTCTCACTCTGGCTTAGGCAAGTCTCAAACTCCTGAGCTTAAGCAGTTCTCCCTCCTCAGCCTCCCACAGTGCTGGGATTACAGGCATGAGCCACCACAACTGGAGGAAGCTGTATTTTTTAAGATGTTTGCCTGATGATTCTTACACAGCTAACCCAACACTGGGCCACATTCTGTCTCTTTGAAGTAACAGAAGTGGAGTAATGACATCTTAGGCACATTTTCCCCATTTCTTGTTCATTTCCCATCCCCTGACTGGCCCATTTTCAGTATGGAAAGGTCTTGGTGGGACCAGCAGAAGGTTGAGGCCAAGACGGTGATTCTCAGGTGTGGAAGACGAGCAGAGGGGTTTTATGTTTCATGAGGGTTCAGAGAAGTCCTTAGAACAAAGCCTCACCTGGGGCTTTGTCATGAGTGGCAAGCTCAGCGTGGGCCAGCGTGTGCTCATGCCTAGGAGACCACCCTGCCCCTCATGCTGGGATCCCGGACACCAGTTACTGTCTAGGAAATTTTTAAACTCTGTTCCAAATTGTATGTTATCGGCTGATTTTCTTTATGCATATCCTTTTTCAAAAGGCAAAACTGAAGCTTCATGATGGCCCAAACGATATTGTGTTTAGTATCACAACCCAGTATCAAGGGACCTGCCGCTGTGCAGGGACCATTTACCTGTGGAACTGGAATGACAAGATCATCATTTCTGATATCGATGGAACAATAACCAAGTAAGCTCTACCCTGGTGTGGTTTGTCAGCAGCCCTGTGACACAGTGGTTGTGGGGATCCCTCACGTGAACCATCTGCCCTGAGGTGGCCCGAGCAGAGTCACACAGGGTCATTTCATGGATGGAGGAGATGGTTGGAGCCACACAGATTTAACATCAAAAACAACTCTTGAGGCTGGTCATGGTGGCTCACGCCTGTAGTCCTAGCACTCTGGGAGGCCGAACCAGGCTGATGGCCTGACCTAAGGAGTTCGAGACCAGCCTGAGCTAGAGCAGGACTTCGTCTCTAAAAATAGCCAGGTGTTGTGGCAGGCTCTGAAGTCCCAGCTACTCAGGAGGCTGAGGCAAGAGAATGGCTTGAGCCCAGGAGTTTGAGGTTGCTGTGAGCTATGATGTCATGGCACTCTACTGAGGATGACATAGTGAAACTCTGTCTCAAAAAAAAAAAAAAATTGTGATAAGATTTAGTTACTTGGTCTCAATTCTGATGTGAAAACAGAAGCTGTTCATATTAGAGAGGCAAAAAAGAGGGTGTGCTGCAGATTATCCCTGAAAATGAGTGTCTGGCTCTGGTGTGACCCCACTGTCAGCCGCTCAGTGGTGTGTGGCAGGAGCTGCCTCACAGGTGCACGGCCCTGCTGAGACTGGCTTGCTCAGGGTGACACTTGGCTAGTGGGAAGGTGCTTTCTGTGTTTGCTTCCTGATGCCTTTTTCTATCTTTTCTACCTTTTTAGGTCCGATGCTTTGGGACAGATTCTCCCACAGCTGGGTAAAGACTGGACTCATCAGGGCATAGCAAAGCTCTACCATTCTATCAATGAGTGAGTAATCCCTCCCACGTCACCTTGGCTCCAGTGAGCGACATATAATTTTACTTTAAGAACTGTGGAAAATAGTGCAAACCGTCTATCCCCGTAAGTTGTGTGTTTGTGACCCATCTCTTGCTGCTCTTCTTTCTCCTGCTCGTGTGGCCTCATGCAGGGGTGAGTGGCAGCCCTGTGACTGCTGACGGAGCAGGCACTGTGTGTGCCTGGTGCCCGTGATGGCACCCTGCCTGTGTCATCTCAGGCAGTCCTCAGGGTGCTGAGTTTGAGGCACTGCCTCCTGTACCTATGATTATAGCTGTGATTTTTTTGTTTTTTGTTTTTGTTTTTTTTTGAGACAGTGTCTTACCTTGTCACCCAGGCTAGAGTGCAGTGGAATCATTATAACTCACTGTAACCTCAAACTTCAGGCTCAGGTGATCCTCCCACTTCAGCCTCCCAAAGTGCTAGGATGGCCAGTATGAGCCAGCCCCATAATTATTTTTGTTAGCTAGAATTTGATAAGAGAGCTGATTTTCATTTTGGGCTTATCTTCTGGGTATTTTTACATTGTATGTCTTCAAGCGCTACCTGTAGCCCCAGTAACTGAGAAGGCAGGTAAGAGGGGACTACTTGATCCTAGGAGTTGGAGACAAGCCTGGGCAACATAGCATGACCCTGTCTCTAAAAAAATAGGAAATTAAAACATTGTATTTTTGTTTTTGAGTAGATAGTACATACTTGCATGGGGGAAACAAGTCACTCATGGAGTGCTCTCAGGGCACCCTTCGAGGGAAAACAGTGGCATGGGCTTCGTGGGATCCTTACTTTTAAATTAATTTGAAAAGTTAGTGTCTTTAGTGTTCCCTGAAAATGTCATAGTATGAAAATCATGACTATGCCAGTTGCCTGGGCATACTTTTGCTTCTTATGAATTGTTCGCACCTTGCAAATTGTCTTTATAAATAAGATTGCTTGTATCTTTCCGTTACAGTAGATAATTTAAAGATAGTCCAAGGCTTTTTGCCTGTCTGTAAGCAGGATCTCATGGACTGGACGCCCAGCAGGTCATGTCCATACTTATAAGCAGGAAGTACAGCCCCCAGTTGCACACATGCTCTGTAGTGTCTCGTGGAGCAGTGAAGTCGTTAATAATCCTAACTTCCTGCTAAATTCAAGAATTCGACATTCACAGTAAATCAGAGGAGCTTTATTTGTACCTTATAGAAAAAAAGTGCCTTTTTCCCTCTTTAGCCAAGATACGTGGGCTAACAGAATGTGTTTTCTTTCAGGAATGGCTACAAGTTTCTGTACTGTTCAGCCCGTGCCATCGGCATGGCCGACATGACCCGTGGCTACCTCCACTGGGTCAATGACAAGGGCACAATCTTGCCCCGTGGCCCTCTGATGCTGTCCCCCAGCAGCTTGTTCTCCGCCTTCCACAGGTACCTCTCCAGCAGGCAGGTTCGGCCGCCTGTGTGGTGTAGGGCAGGGCTGGGTGAATGGAGTATGTGTGTGGATGGATGCAGGCTCTAGCCCTGCTGTGCCTCTTAGCTGTTTGGCTCTCAGGGAGCCGCCTAACACACACCCTTCACCTGATGTAGTCAGATGTGGCGATGATAAGCTAAGTGCCAAGTATTCTCTTTCCCTAAACCCTGTCACTCATGTTTTCTTCTCAGTCATCATACCGGCAAAAAAAGAGAAAGAAAGACACCAGTTACAAAGGTTAAAAAAAAAAAAAAATAGTTGTAAGCACTAAAATTTTTTTCAGGATCACATACCAGGAAGTACTACCATTCTAAGATTGGTATTTTTTTTCTTCCCTTAGGGAAGTGATAGAAAAGAAACCAGAGAAGTTCAAAATTGAGTGTCTGAATGATATTAAGAATCTGTTTGCTCCATCCAAGCAGCCCTTCTATGCTGCCTTTGGAAACCGTCCAAATGTAAGTGTCTCCTGGGCTCTGGACCTGGTGTACCACAGGTAAAACTCAGAGCCCGTGCATTTCTAGGGTGCAGCCTATTCCCTGTGCTGGGTGAGACAGCGGCTCTGCTTGGTGGGTTTTCACTTGATCTGTTCCAAATTTCTGTAGCAGTTGAGGTGACCCCATACGTGCAGATCTGCTCCAAAATTTGTAGGTTTTTCTTTGTTTCTGGGACTTCAGTTTCATTTCCTCAAGCAGCTCTGACTCATCTAAGTGGCTCTAAGCTGCATTCATGAATCTGCCCTAAACAGGGCCTGGGGACTCGCCCCTCACTACCAGGCCCGACGTGCTCCCCTCCAGCTCCCCTCCAGCCTGCCGACTCGCTCCTCACTAGCACACCCCACCTGCTTGGGCCATCAGACATCAGTGGGGGCATGGCCTCCCGGTCCCTTCTGCTCCAGGACCCCTGGCTTCTTTGTACTACCCAAGTATTCTCACTCTGAGTGTCCTCTGGGTTTGGTGCCACTCCCTAGTTTACATTTGTCTAAAGCTCAGTTTTGGTGGGAGAGCCGCACTGCGCCCGGCTTTAGCGTGTCCTGTGGAGAATCTGTTTATGCTGGGCTCTGGCTTACAAGGAGCAGGGGAAGCATGTCCTGATTTCTTCTCACTGGAACGCCCCTGCTTGATGTTTCCTTCTGTAGGATGTCTATGCTTACACGCAAGTTGGAGTTCCAGACTGTAGAATATTCACCGTGAACCCCAAGGGTGAATTAATACAAGAAAGGACCAAAGGAAACAAGTCATCGTAAGTGCATTCCCAGTTCTTAGCTTAGGGCCCTGCAGCTAGCAAGGGTGCAGCTAAGGACAGACATATACTAGCAGAGATCAGGCCCAGCTCAAAGCATCAGAACTGTACCTCCTGTGTGGGTGTTGCCCCAAATAACTGTTAAATCAGGACCTGAGTAGTCCTGATTATCAGACGTATAGGAGGCTGTCAGCCCTGGGACAGGACTGAGGCTGCTCTCTTGACCTGCCAGCTTCACTGCCCACAGACTTGTGCCTCTGATCAGTTTTGGAGTCACAGTCTGTGTCCCCTCCCCAATCTCTCCCCCTAGGTACCACCGGCTGAGTGAGCTTGTAGAGCACGTGTTCCCACTTCTCAGCAAGGAACAGAATTCCGCCTTTCCCTGCCCGGAGTTCAGCTCCTTCTGCTACTGGCGAGACCCAATCCCTGAGGTGGACCTGGATGACTTGGCCTGAGATGGCACCTCCACTGGGCAGGTAGGGCTCTGTCACTCGTCCCTCAGCAAGGGAAGGTGATCAGCCCTTCTGCCAGCCTCAGACACCAGCTTTCCCGAGCAGGGCTGGGGGCTCCTGGAGCTGGCACTGCTGTCCTTTGCCTTCCCAAGCCGGCTGCTCCGACCCTGCAGGTCTGCAGCTCAGCGCCGGGAGGGACCAGGAAAGAGCTCAGCCCAGGGCTGGAGGCTGTGCTTCCTCCCTCGCAGGCTGCACGCATACTTCTCTGAGTTGTGTGCAGGGTGCTCCTTCCATCACATAATTTAAAAGGAAGAAAAAAAGCTAAAAAAGAGTGGACCAAAACATTACACAAAGTAAACTGTTACAATTTCTATGGGGCATTTGGGCTGGTTTCTCTCTGTAATCAGGGCTTTCTTCAGAGGGTCGAGCCCTCTGAACTGCCACAGGTCCAGTTAGTGATGTTGGCTAAGACTGTGCACATTTCTCCTTTGGGCACCCCACTTCCTGCTATACTGGACAAGACTGCTGCTTGGGTGGACCAACTTGGGCAGTACCCCCGGGCCCCTGCACCAGAGCCACTGGGCCCAGCCCCACAGACGTGGGCTTCTGGAGGAGAAAAATCCCCCTAGATCAGTGGTTCTCAACCTGTGGGTCGTGACCCCCAGGAACTGTATTAAAGGGCCGTAGCATTAGGAAGGTTGAGAACCACTGCCCTAGACAGTCTTCTCATGAGTCTTCCCCTGAGTGAGAGACCTTTATGTTATTTTTTACATCTAACCAGAAGAACAGATTTTGCAGACCTGTATTTGTTGTCTGCAATTAAAGCATCAGTAGTGGGAAGTTGGGTTTTTAAAACAAAAACTGTATTTTCAAGGAGGCCCTGGAAACGCAGATACAGTTGTGCTGGTCCTGGGAAGAGTGCTGTTTCCTTCTGCCAGTCGCCTGGCCTAGATGGGCCTTTGGGTGTCTTGCTTTGAGACAGGATCTCTAAAATTCTGTGGTCCATATTTGTCAGGGAAGCACAGTGAAGTTTGCATGAAAGCATTAGGCTTTGACATTTGGAATCACCACCCTATAATAAAGCCCCATGGAAGCTGTGCAAGAGGGGTCTTGGAGAGTCTCGGGAGCCCACCATCCCTCAGCAGTGTCCCCCCAGCCAGGTTTCCTGTGGTTGATGGTGTCAAGGCCGTCCTGTGAGATCCATGAGGGTGTGGGATGCCCACGTGTTCTCACTAAAAATGTGCACAGTGGCTCCATTTATTAGCTCATTTATTTACTTATTGTAATGAGCTCATATCGTATGTCCAAACAGATGGCACCAGGATTGGAGGTGCTCATATCAAATGTCCAAAAAGACGGCACCAAGTGGAGGATTGTGTGCTGTCCACCCTTCAGAGCGTTAGCAGCTACTGCAATATTGACATCAAGAGAACTGCAAAAGAGGAGACTTTTTAGGGACCAGAAATGGCACCAGGTCATAGTCACTATGGTGAGAGCACAGGAGGTCAAGGCTTTCGGAGCAGAGAGGCGCTGTACATACAGACTGATGCCGTTAGGAAGGTTTCACGTCTATTCCATGTACCCCTGCAGTCTTAATGGGGCTGGTGGTCTTGTTTTAGGTCTTGACCTATAAAGGGGGTATAGGGGAGGTTATTTTTCCAGATTGGAGAGTTGAAAGTCCTTGATGACTGATTGCAGCCATTTTTCCTAGTGCTGTTGGGTGCATAGGCAACATTGAAATGCCTTGAGCACAATTCCCAGTGGCAAAACCTGGGAGCCCATGTGCCCAGAGAAGGGACAACACAAGCTTTCTCTGGTGCAAACCTTGCCCTTCTTAAATAGTTCATAAGACTGTTTGATTGGTTTATTTATGTACAGTAGGTTAGGGAGCCTAGGTTACGTTTATATGAAGTTCTACCCAGTTAGTGAATTACAATTCTAGCAGAGCAGCCATGTAGCCACTTCATTTCATAGATGCCGTCACCGTGTCCTCTTGACTGCCTTCTGTAGAGGAAGAACGAGAGCTGTATGTGCTTCACCTGAGCTTAGTAGGACTTCTTTGCATATGAGTGGTACTAAAAATCTTAATATACATCTTTAGTTCTTTTTAAGTTGTCCTTTAAAGAGTTTTTGACTAGGATGTTTCTTTTTCTTGACAAGTTCTTCTCTTTGGACATGTGGCCTTGTTAGAGGGTCCCGCCTAGGACATGGGTCCTGGCCCTGTGTTGAGAGTGGCTGGCCCCTGTGTCCCGTGTCCACTAGCACTAGACTTGGTTGCTGCAAATTGATCCAGTGGGTACATAGGCTGATTAATGTGAGTCTTTTTTCCTTGTTTAAAGGAGTCCTTTTTGCTGAAAGTAGATGATTACTTTTGCTGTAATGTTATGAAAGTATTAAGTTTGTGCTGAAAATCCATTGCCATTTGGTACAAATGACATTTGTTCTTTCTGTGAAAGAGAGATGCCCTCGAGTGTGTTTGTACACAAACCCTTAGGATGGTGAGTTGAAGCATCACCCTCACTGTCTGCAGTGACAGTGGTGTCACAGGGAGATGGTAGGCAGGGTGGCTCTTCATCATCCTGGCAGATGCTCCCTCAGTGAACTGGCCCCTTCCCCTCTTGGCAGTGCAGTCTGACTCTAGTGTTTGCTTTGATGTCTGTGTGGAAAGCTCGTCCTGCCAACTCTGGCCCTTGCCAGGCTGTGTGAGGTGCACGTGTGGAGCTGGAGCATGCAGGCAGCCTCCATGTTTGAGTACTATGTTTTGCTGTGTTTAAAAACATCTGCATAGTTTTCAACTGGAAAAAGAAAACAACTTAAATGTGTACTGTCCTAAAACGAAAGCTGCTAAAAATCATGGGGAGAACAGCTGAGGAACAAAGCTGACTGAGTGAGCGGGAGGTGCTCTGCCCCTGGACAGCCCACTCGACTGTCTGGCTGCATGAGTGTCCAGGCAAGAGCTTTTATGGAAACAACGGTTAGAGAGGAGTCAGCTCTTTCGGTTTGCAGGTTGGTGAAAACAGACTCTTCCAGAGAATTTTATCCTATCATCCTATGTATTCTGGGAAGCCGTGTTTTCTCTGTTTTTGGAGGTTGCTGGGTTTAATAAAACTGGTTAAAAATTGAGATTTTTCTTCAATTGTTCTTTCCAGGTGAAAACTTTTTTTCATTCAGTTTAAAGGTAAAGAATGGAGGGAAAACCTTTCTCTCTTAATTCAATAATTATGTTCAGCCTATGATGAGAAGTATTTGATGATTAGACAGCAATGTCACTAATAAGTTTTAAGTTATCAGAAACTAATTGTAAACATCAGTACAGTACTCTTAGTTATGGTAAAGATAATTGTCTTAAGATGAATGGCTCATATTTTGGTGCAGTGTTTGATGTTCAAAACAAAATGTTACAAAAATAAACATAAACTGAATGCATTTGCCTGTTTCCTTCTGGGGGCATTTAAACCATCTTCTCTATACTCTTGCCAAAAGTTGATAATTTCCATAAATTAGCATTTTGATCTTTGCTGACACTTAAATTTGTCCATAGAAGGGACTTCTTTGGGGTGCTTATTTTTAAAACCTGACTCTGAAGTGAGGCTACACCCACAGGAACTAACCTCTTGCTTTGTGTGTTTTGCCAGGAGATGACTCATTCATACATATGTAATTTTCCTCTGTGGTCTTGCTGGTGTCTGAGGCTGTTTACCTCCTACCCTTGGGCACTGCAGGGTTCCCCTGGGAGTCCTGTCCAGAGCCCAGGACAACCCACCTTGTATTAAAGCCTTCCTCATGGTGGATATGTCTTAGCAACCCTGGTGTTTTCATCAGATGGACAGAATCAAAGCAATCAAAAACCACATCCCGTACATTATGTGAATGAGCATCTTGTACCCTCTCAGATGGCCTGCCACATGCTCTATGCTGACCCTGTGTGTTGCCGTTGTCACGGGAGCATGTGCCTGTGAGTATGGGAGAGGTCTGCATTTCAGGCTTCTTCACCATGACATGATGAGGGCTGTGCACCGGGAAGCACCGGTCTGTGGGGTGCGCTTTGGGAACAAAATGGAAGGACTTATGCGAAGTTGGATTACAACAAAAATGATTTTTACCCAGAGCAGCTTCTGATGCTTCAGAGGAACAGTGGGCACTCGAGCTCAGCAGCACCACTTTTACCCAAAGCAGCTTCTGATGCTTCAGAGGAACAGTGGGCGCTGCACCTCCGAGCTCAGCAGCACCACAGTGCCCCTTGGTCCCGTCGCCCCTGTGCCCTTGGCAGTTCACACGTGTCCTTCCCATTTATAGGACGGTGTAAGGAGAACATACACTACAAGAGTTTTATTATATTGCCCTCAGTAGAGTGCTGAGGCATCCCAGTTTACAGCACCCTCAAACTCTTAGGCTTACTCAATTGTCTTGCCTCAGCTTCCCAAGTAGCTGGGACTGCAGGTGCTCACCACAACACCCAGCTATGGTTTTGGTGCAGTTACCGTTGTTTTAGCTGGCCCAGGCTGGGTTCAAACCCGCCAGCCTCAGCATATGTGGCCGGCACCCTACCCACTGAGCTACACGTGCCACCACACATGTATGTTTTAACGTGGGCTTGTGTACAAAGCCCTGTTTCAGAACTACGAGCATGGAGCTGAGTGTGCCTCTACCCACAGATGCTCCTTTCCTTTCAGGATGCAAAGACGTACATTGTGAGTGGTCGTCTGTGAGATGAGTCATTTGGCAACACTAGATTAAAGCGCCAAGCCGGAAGTAATTTATAATGGAATTTATGGTGGTTTGCCCCATTTCATCTTAATTGTGTCTTGGAGGAGAGGCAAAGACCAGCTTAATTGGGCTCATTCTGTTTTGCCTGTCTTGGGTACATAGAGCTTAAATTCCCCTTTGTCAGAGAGTGAGCCAGTATGCTGGGAAAGGAGGACAGAGTTTGACTTGCTCTAGAGAACCATCTGCAGAGTAGAAGAACAGTCAAGCCTGCTTTCTGTCTGGTCCTTGCTTTTCTAGCTATTGAGCATTTGTGCCTTTGGCTCCGAGTAAGGTCTTAAAAAGGAGTGTGAGGGAAGAGGGCCAAAGCATGTGCCCGTGCCAGCTGGGTTTTCCTGAAAAAGCTTGGCTGCATGGGGTTTCTTCTGTGAGTCATTTCTAGACAATCAAGGCCATTCCCAACAGCTACCTTTAGCCAGCTCTCCAGCTGTAGAAACAAGGGCTGAGAACACCATTCTCCCTCCTTGTTCTAACAGCAAAATGGAAGACCTTTAGCTCTTGTTCACTTCTCCCTAGTTGTACAAGGAAGATAAATGAGAACTCCTTGGTGGCCTCCCTGTAGTCTCATTTGCAAACAGTTCTTGGAACTCAAAGCATTTTTACAGCATAAGAATTTTTACAGCATAACAGCATCTTCTAATGGCTAAATGCAGGCCAAGAAAACCAGAGCTCTTACTTCTCCCATCCAGACCTTTTTCTGGGGGTCAAGGGGTGTGGGCTTTTCTCTCGTGGTACCTAATTGACCAGATAGGTTTTACCAACCTGATTAGTAAAGACTACCTTGAGCTAAGGGTGCCTAGAGCTTTCTGTGCCTGCTAGAGAATTAACGTGCCTGGGCTTCCCCTAGAACAGAACACACTGCTGCTTCAGATGATCTCAGTTTTCAGTGCGTGGCCAGTTTTCTGTTGGGCCTCTTGTTGCTTAGGAACCAAGAGTCCATCAGGCTGTGGCTGCCAGAGAGAGTGCCGTGAAGCACCAGGACTCATTTTCATGAGCCTGGGCAGCTGCCAAGGAGATGTGCGTTTCCAGCACCCCAGGAGGAGCAGTCCAGCTGCAGGATCGCACGGGGCTTGACTCCGTGCACATCTGGTCTGTCTGTGGAAGCCAAAAGCAAAACCCAAGTGTACAGCTTGGATGCTGAGGGCTAATAGTTTTGTGGTTTAGTTTATTCAAGATTATTTTCTACACAGCCCACAAACAGAAAAGGCCAGTTACCTTCCTACAGTTGGCTTTTTAGCAACAGCTTCTAGTCCATAAAATACCAGGCTTCAGAAAACTTGAAGTGGCTTTATATATTTATTGGTGCTCCCTGTCTTTGCCCTGAACTGTACATGCCATTTAAGGAGCCAATCAACTTCGTGAACAGTCTAATGCATCCCCATCAGCAGCCCACGTGAGCAGGGGAGAGTCCGGAGGCAGTGGTGGGCCAAACATGGAACAGCCCAAACTAAATTCAGGGTCCCTGTGTGGTGGCATGGGCCACTTGACTTCAGTGTTTAAACTTTCCTGCATGCAGTGTAAACGGTTGGCCATAGTGTTGCTGTCCAGTAAAGACCAGCCAGGGGTTCTTAGCCCAGCAGCTCCTCCTCCATCAGCAGGACACCAGCCCCCAGCCTGGCCCCCGGGGGAGCAGCTAGAGCCCAGGAGCCCTCAAGTGGATCTGGAGGCTGGCAAGACGCAAGGGGGGGATCTGGCTCATGCCCAGGAGGGCCTTTCCAAGTCTTCCAGTTGTCCAGTTACAGTGACATATACCACATGCCTCATTCCTCACTGCCTGCCTGGGTGCTGTGAGGTGGTTGGCCTCAGCAGCGAAGGAAGGCCTTCGTGGTGGGGCAGGTGATGGGGGCAGAAAACTCGACCAGTGCTTCAGTGCATACTGAAAGCAAATATATTAAAGCTTCAGAGTTTTTACAACTCGTGCCCCTTACCTCGCCCCAGCCGCCCTAGGGGTGGGAAAGGAAGGGATATAAGAACACCCCACTGAACGTGGAGTACATCTCATCAAAGTCAGTGTGCGCCAGCCTGCCCCCCGTCACCACCACATTGACTGCATCTCCTGCCTTCAAGTGCACAACAAGGTGGAAGGCTCCCGGGCCCCCACAGGTGTGCAGGGCCCCAGGGGGGCGGTGGTATTCCAGGAATTCCCTCCTGTAGCCAGCTGTGTGCAGCTGGGCCACGCTGGCATTGGAGACGGACAGCACTGCCTCCACGTAGGCGTCTCTCTCCGGGGTGAGGGTGGCCGTGATCAGGTAGCGCCCGTCATACGGAGCTGTGAAGATCCCTGGAAGGAGAAAGACATCTGTGCTCAGCTGACACCAGCACAGCCCCTGCCATGGACAATAAGGTAACCGAGATGGGGGACCAGTGTCTTTCTGGCACTTTACAGTCCTGGGCAAACTAAGGAGGCAGCAGTGGAGGGAAGCAAGCTGTTTGCATCCTGTACCCACCCTCCAGGCACCTTTGACTCCAGCCACCTTAGCTCCTGGTGCTTTTTGCCACTGACCCAAAGATGCCATGAAAGCACCTCAAGGCCAACTTAGCCTCAAGGCTGGGCTGCTGGCAGGACCAGGTACCCCCAGGAGGCCAGGCCCTTCCCCTAGAAGGGCCACTCTCCTGCTGGACAAGTACACGGGTAGCAGACATGCATGGCCAGAAGCAAGCACTGCCGTGTGTTCTGGGTCTGGAGGCTGGAACTGAGGAATAAACAAGTCTGTAAGTGCTATACTATTTGCAAAACCAGAAGACTCAACCCAGAGCAGAGGCTGGCAGGAGCAGCTGCCACCCACAGGCTCTGGAAAGGCATTTCACCTTGCCCACTGCCCCAGGTGGGTCAGATGGGAGGAGTGTGACTGGGTCCTTTTTAGCCAGGTGCTAAAAGGGGGTAGACTTTAGGGCCCTGGGCATCAGTCATACCCCCCAAATGCACAGGTCAGGCTACTGAGCCCCTTCCCTAGCATCAAACAGCAAGTAATGGAGAGATGCTGAGTCTTTCCTGAGGCAACTGGCCCTGGGACAAAGCCGGCTGGCGCTCTGGGCTTGACTTGCTTGCTCCAGGCCACATGTGGCAGGTGAGACTAGGTCTGGGAATGTGACATAGGTCAGTGAGCCTGCTCACAAAATCCCCTGACCTGTCCAGGTAGCTGTACTATCCCACAGCCAAGCTTGGATTGGGATGAGGAGGGTAGCCTGACCCTGAAGATTGTAACAATTCAGCGGAGGCCTGGGGGCCTGTGGGGGTCGCTGCACTCCTCCCACCTGACCCGCCTGAGAGGCTGAGCTTTGGTCCACCTGGACTGGAGTACAGTGCTGGGGTGAGTTCTGTGCTTACCAGTCTTTAAGAACCACTTGTGGGGTGGGAGGGGGTTAGACAGTGGCCTGGTGAGGATGGCAGCTAACACCTGCCCAGAAGACGGTCACGTTCTCCACCCACTAGCTTAGGAGCTGCAAAGCCTCCCTAACATGCACTGGCCCCTCGGGAGGACCTGATCATAGGTAAGGACCATGGACCATGGTTGCTGAAGGCTCAGACTGGGAAAGGCCCAGGCCAAGGGGAATCTCACCTCGCCTGCCTGGGGGTTTTTTCTCCCAGGCCACCCCTGGTCCTGGTAGAGAAGCCCACCCCGGGAGGACACTGGGAACCTGAGGCAAACCCCATGCTCACTGTCCTCTCAGGCCCACTCCAGACAACCCAGGCCTGGGGGCCAGTGCTGCAGACAGTGAAGTGATTGTGTTCAGGGCATGAGGCCTTCCTGGGGAGAACACAGCTCCCAGCCCCGCTGGTTCCGTTCATGATAAATACATGGGGCCCTCAAGGGAGCCTCCAGTTTGCCCTGTCAGAGCCCAAGAGAGGCGCAGTGGCTGTCAGAGGCCAGGTGTGGTGCGCTGTGGCCTACGGAGCCCTCTTAACAGCGACTCCAGTGGTGAGAGCAGAGGAGAGTGTGTTGACCTCACAACTAGGGAATGTCACCCACCCAGCCTGCAGCCTGACAGCTGGGACCACATGTGTGAAACCCACAGGGCTAGGTGCACAGCACATGCCCCCTCGGGGCCCCTTGTCCAGACAGCGTCCTCCCAGATCCCAGGCACCTGCATGTGGGGGTTAGGAGGAGACGGGACCCAAGTGCCTTTCACTCACCTGTGTTAGGGTTGTACACGTCCCCGTCGTTTACCAACACTTTGTTAAAGAGGACGACCCCCCTGTCGCTGGGGAAAGGCTTCTGGGTAAGCCCAGCGGAGAAAGACACAAGAGAGGGCCCTGGAATGCCTGCAGCAGAGAGGGGATGAAGTGGGCTGAGACTCCGGGCACGGGGACTGCGCCAGGGCCCGTGTGCCAGGCCAGTTTTCCCTCCCTTGGATGTGGTGGGGCACCCCACTCCTCAGCCACGTGCTGGGCTCCCTAGCTGGGCTCAGCAGTCAACTAAGCCATCTGGGAAGCTGGGGAGGCCCTCGCCAGAAGTGTGTGAGACTGTGGCAACATGCGTGGCGGGCCAGGGAGGTGCTGGTAGGGCAGCAATAGAGGGAGCTGCTCACTTGCTGATGAGCCAATAAACCCCGACCCTCAGGAAGCTCGTCAGGACCACACAGGGCAAAGGCCCACCCAGCAAGCCCCTCGGGAACCTCAGTGAGCTGCAATCCTGTAGGAGGGAAAATTCTTTTTCTTGGGCCTGAGACACTGGCCCTGGCTGGGGAGCAAACCTCGACACTTCTGGTTGGGGAGTAGGGCTGGGCCCCAGTTCCACCATTAACAGCATGAGGGAGGAAGGGCGAGGTGCAGGGAAGGGCAGAGACCAGAATGGAAAACCCTGAAGGCGTACCTGGGGCGGCTACAGGAGGTGACCTGGGGTATCCTGAAAAACAACAGGATGGAATGTCAAACAGTTCCTAAACAGTAGCTCAGTTTTTGAGTCTTTTCTTTCCCTACCCCTCAGAAGCTCAAATTAAATCTTCATTACCAAAGAAACAGACATAGAACAAGGGGCCCACTCTGAGCTGCCTCCCTCAACAGGCATATTGGAACCCACCTGTCCCTGCTCCCTCACTAGCCACTCCCTCCTGGCAGAGAGGAGGGCACTGAGGCAAGCTGCCCCTAGGAGTATAAAAAAAGAGAAAGACAGCATGCTGGAGCCCTGGAGCCCAGGCCAAGGAGGAGAAGCCCACAGACTCCCAACTAAGGCATCTGTGCTTTCGTAGTGTTATCTGTCCGAGAGCTTTGCCGTCAACTGGACTGAACACAGTATTAAGTGGACACACGGAGGGGTGGGTGGACGCATGCACACAGGGACGAATACACAGACACACATGGATGCGTGGGTGGGTGGACGCACGCATGGGAGCCGGCACGAGTGAGGCAGGTGTACACATGTGGATAAATGGTTGCATCCGTCCACGGATAAATGAGTGGATAGGTTGGGTGAATGTCTGTGGAGGGGCACGTGGATTCCTGATGCCCGTGTGGTGGGGAATGTCTGTGTGGAGGGGCACGTGGATTCCTGATGCCCGTGTGGTGG